CGCGGGGAACAGCTAGTTATTTCATAACATAATGTCATCCAAACCGAATTTCGGTTACGGTCGTCAGTCTCAACGGAGGCCAGCCGTTTGTGCAGGACAGAATTTCAGCGCACAAATATGTGCGCAATCTCCCAACCAACCACAGGTGCACTCTCTATTCCCACACTCTCAAAGTCCGATGGCGACGGTCAGTCAGGCATGAAATACCGTTAACTACTCGACGTATAGCTGCTAATGGGAATTTATTGTCAGAAAACCCCAACAATTACTGATTTTTGACCTGACCACTAGACCAAAAGTTATTCAAGTCAACTAGTTAACTAGACCAGCTACCACTAGACTACGTGTAAGTTGGTAACAAGAAATGTATTTAGGTTCTAAAGCCATTTAGTAGCAAATTATCGCCCTTACGTTGCACCGGACGTTTTATTTATTGATATCTGGTGAACTTCACAGCATGTCTTCAAAATAATTTTTTTTCCTTATTTCTCAGGCATGCAGGTTTCCTCACGATATTTTTCGCCAAGCCCGTGCTAATTTAGCATTTTACTATAGATCAACAAATGAAGTGCATTGTACGAGTTCTCAAAATAAATCTCTTAAAGAATGTTTTTCTTTTTATTTTAACAGATTTTAAAAAGAATTAAAAAGTTACCTTGTTTATACTAGAACTAGAACCTTACTATATTTATAAAATACCACAGTGAAACAATCATGATAACCGGTCGTGTAATTTATAAAAAAAAATCGCTTTTTGGAGAAACAGAGAAATTTCTTTTTTTGAGGAAAGTTACAAAATTCGATAATCACAGAATAAATAATACTACAAGAAACTATACGACGTCATAGCTTCTTGCAGTCAAATCTCATATTTCGTGAATTTTTAATTAACAAAAATAAAATTTGAGTTAAAACGGAATACCAACCAAATTTATATATATATATATAGAAACAGAAACAGAAACTTTTTTATTCAACATAGTTTATAAATAATACTTATTGAAAGTCACTCTTTTGTATAATTACCACTGGTTCGAAAAAAACCTCTGTCCTGGAAAGAACCAGCAAGAAACCCAGCGGGACTTTTCTTTTAAAATAACAGCTTACAATCATGTATGTTACACAAATTAACAACACAACAAATTAGAAGTAGCTTGATAGCGATCACCTCATTTCCAGGGGTTATTATCATCTATATATGTATAGCTTATATATCTATATATAGCTTTAATATGTATAAATTAAGTAATACATTTTCAATATTATCATTTCCTTAAACAGGTTTTTTTTATGTTAAAGAATCCATTTAAGATTTGCTTTTTAAAGATTTAATAGAAAATTAGTATTTACGGTTTTACCTTAAGCTTAATCATAGTAATACCACAAAATAAACAATAGTACCAGAAGTAACACACAGACGCAAGTAGTCTAGACATGAAACACATATTATATGTACCTATCTCCGTCTGCGCTCTTGGAAAGGATCAATAAACAGTCGGCCTGGTATCGGCTGGTGCCAGAAACTTGGGGGATGATATTATAAAAGTTTTATTTACTTTTTTACTTTTAAAAACTATTAAGCAATAGTTCTACAATCTCACTTAGTTTGCGTAACAAAAGCCTATTCACTCTCACCTTAACGCCCAAATCCAGACGAATTATGTTTTTAAACAGTTACTTTTTTGTATCGCGGTGACCTTTGATAGACTTAAATTGACACATGTACAAACATCACTACCCAAAACTTATTGGTAAAATTAATTGAAAATTTTTTAAATAATATATTGTGAACAAAAATTATTGGTAGCCCTTACAAATACTTATTCCGTGCGGGAATCTAACCCCCGACCGCCGTCACTAAACACATCCTAGTCACTCCGCCACAGAGCCTTCAAAATGTTTCCACTAATATTGTTATTTTCCATTAGATATAAATATTAAATACCCTAACACATAGTACCTGGAACTAAAGTTATCTGATAAAGTGTTCACTTGTCGTTTGCCGACGTTTCCTTTGCAGTTAGATCAAAATTATAGAATTGCTCGCATGCAATAAAACGCCGTCAACTAATTGACACTTCAACTATAATTATTGCAAATGCCGCTTTGTAAGTTACATAATCGTTTGATAATTCGAAGATTAGGAATAAAATGACCATAGATTATATATATATATATATATATATATATATATATATATATATATATATATATATATTTGAAAGCTAATGCTTTTAAAATAAACTATATGAAGTATGTATAAAATAATAACAGCGCTATTTTAAAAAAAGTTTTTTCACTCAACAAATATAATGAACAAATATGAAAATATACAATATAGTAAATATACAATACGTGAAGGTAATAATGGTCATCCGATTAATATGGTCACTTTCTTATAACTCAAAAACTACAGCCTTATTTGCATAGATGGCTCTGTGATAGGATAGCTCGTCATCAGTCATTCAATTAATAAAGGGTCAAAAGAGCGCTGCTTTATCGACGCCATTTTGACAGTTGATATTATAGTAAATATTTTAGTCGGTTTTAGTATTGGGTAGTGTATTTAGTTTTTTTTTAATTTGATTTTTCAAAGTGTTCCTAATTATTGCCAAGGCCTGTTTGCAATTTTTTTCTTAATACATTAGTTATAGTATACGACTTTGTGTTTTTGTCTATGTCCTCCTCCTAGTTTTGCTTTTATAAGGCGGCAAAACTTAAGGTACCCTTACGTACCTTATTTATTACCTTTATAAAAAAAAACTTAATCTTAAAACTTAAATTATCATATCATGCAGTCCCACTCCCAGCGGCATAGAGCCAAGAACCCTGTCTGCAATTTAAAATTGAAAAAAAAAAGGTAAAGACACTTCAGCAAATTTAATTTGCTCGTACGAGCTAACCCATTTACTAGCCCCAATTACAGCCGATATTAAGGATAATATGACAACATGTTACAGATCAACACAGCCCAAATCAATGCATTACCAGTTACCATGTACCCTATAGCTCTAACTGTCTTACAGTAAAAATTAGTTTATATTTAGTCCCAGGTTCGAGTAGTAAAGTCTGTTTCATTAAAGAACCTAAGTGTACAGGCTCTCTCTATTACCAAGTTTAAATGTTTTGTTAAGTTGAAACTGTATAAAAAGGGTTATTATAGTATAAATGAATACATGGTTGATAATAACCCCTGGGAATTAGGTGATCGCTTCCAAGCTGTTTCTAAAATAAATTTTGTACTTATATAGTTTGTACAACCATTATTGTAAAATTTGCTTTAAAAAAAAGTCCCGCTGGGTTTCTTGCTGGTTCTTCCCAGGACAGAAGTTTCTTTTCGAACCAGTGGTAAACTAAAAAATGACTTTCAATAAGAATTACACATTGTGTATTTGACCATGTGGTGGCGACAGAAGAAAAACCTCTGTTAGGTGGCATTATTACCATGTAATATAAGCCAATTAATCATTGCAATTCAACAAAAAAACATACGTGAGTGTCGTGGAACACTCGGTTGGAACGAAGTTCCTTTCGTAATATATTATTATCGATGAACGTATTATATTATTGATTAACAAATACAAGGAATTACTGGCGTCTATTAAAATGAAGCGTCATTTAAAATAAAATAATGTTTCTTTCATGGCAATATAAGAAAAGTGCGAGAGGGATGGATATTATTCCTCTCACTTTCTTATAGCCGCCAAGGCCGTCTACACCACGTCAGAATGGGTCGTGAGCCGTGACGGAAAAATCTTACAGTTTATCTCGCATAGCTCTCATCCGCCAAATTCGTACCGTCCTATATGGAACTTCATTCCAATAAAAAACACAATTAATTTAATATGTTATTTAACATGTTAAAATGTCAAATAAAAGATATTATTGTTTTTTTGTGTGGGCTCTTCCCATAGCTTTCACCACTCTAACAAAGGATACCTGTCAAAGATATAATATGATAATAGTAATAATAATATCCTCCAGGCCGAATTTCGGGCACGGCGGCCAGTCTCCACGGAGACTACATCGGCGCAGGATGATAATAGTAATAATAATATCCTCCAGGCCGAATTTCGGGCACGGCGGCCAGTCTCCACGGAGACTACATCGGCGCAGGACAAGATTATAGTGCCCGAATGCTTGCGCAAGCACAGGTGTACTCTCTATTCCCTCACTCTCATATCCCAATGGAACGTTAAACCAACATGCCTGGAGAGAGATTAGGTGCCGGACCAACCGTCTTTACGTGCTTTCTGAGGCTCGAGGGTGAAATACCACCAACTTCCCATTTCGGATTGCTACTGAGAATTTACAAAACAACCCAATAACTGATTTTGAGCTGACCCGGGATTTGAACTCGGGACCTCAAGATCAGTCGCATTTTCAACCACTAGACCAACGAGAACAACACGCTCTAATAATATACCTAATATAAATATGTTTTACATATTATTTACACTCACTATATTACACAACAAACATACACGTTTATACGTGGTAGAGCCATGCTGCAGCTATATTAGTAGTATAGTTGTAGCACGAATGGGTCGGCTCGACCGGGGAAGGACCACGCTCTCACAGAATACCAGCGTAAAATGGTTGCTTGACACTGCTGTGTTTCGTATGGTGAGTGTAGAGAACCGGAGACGCATTTTACTGGAAAAGAGGCATTTCATCTTAGTCCTCACGGGTGACGACGCATCTGTAATTTGATTCTTTATTGAGGATATATGTAAATGCAGATGTCTATGGGTCACATCAACCACTTACCATCAGGTGGACTGTGTGCTCGTTTGTCACCCTATCCTATAAAAAATACACATATACACTTATTTATCACGTAGAAGGTTATTTCGAAGATTAATTGATGATAATATAAAGGAATCTGAATAATATGAGGATTTATGCATCAGTTGTTGGTTTTGTTCGTCATCACTGGAAGGTGAAATAGAAGAACGAAAGTGTTAGGTATCAAATTTCATTATAACTCTCCTTTCCAGATTGTTGCCATCCATGCCGAGCCGAAACTCTTCGACAGTTACTACAACGGCTGTTGCAATGGCACATTCTGGCCCCTGTTCCACTCCATGCCCGACCGGACCACCTTTATCGCTGACCATTGGAAGGCTTACATCAAAATCAATGAGGAGTTCGCTGAAAAGACCGTACACGCGCTAAAATTGCTAAAACAAAGCAAGGAGAAGAACAACAACTCGCCGCCCATCGTATGGGTTCACGATTACCACCTCATGTTGGCAGCTAATTGGATTAGACAGGTTGGTTCAAAATTATCATAATATTGGTGCCTTAAGAGGATCTATCACCACAATTAGTCCTCTGGGTGTCGTAAGAGGGAACTACGGGAATTTCAAATGGAAGAAGTTACGGCTTTCGATATATAGTGTCTTAACCATCTCGTTTAGGTCAGTTTTAAAATACTCAGACTGGCGATGAGCAGCAATATCAAAGGTGCAAGACGTATGGTACTGCAAATGTCAATTCGGATGACCAGCGTGACTATTAAGGCAAATCCTGCCTACAACATCAATAACGAGTTCATCACTCACCTTTGATCAACAGTGTCTCCCAACGGGTAGGTTAAGATAAACATGGACAAAGCAAATCAAGGGTAACGTCCTCAAAATTGTCAACGAATATATTTACCTACAATTTAGTATCAATTATCTGATCGGGTAAGTCCAACATCGACCTATAGGGCATCATTTGGAACATCTTCTCGTCACGTGTAGCTCAAAACTTAAAAACAAGACTATACAATCATTGCTTGCTAGTGATGACATGGATCTAACTGAGACATGGTCCTTCCTTGCTGGTCACATGAGAAAGTTAAGTTGCTTGTGGAAATATGGGAAGGGCGAATATGCACCAAGTTTCGTAATGAAGATATCAGTTGTAGAACCAGTGTAATCGACATAGCCCAAACGGATCAGTAAGCCGAAGTGGTAACAAGCTGATTATGCGATATAAATAGAAGAACCTAAAACCGATGTGTAAGTAAGTTTTATCAGTGTCAGTCTTGTGCTGGCAAGTGAAGTGTAGGGTAGTCGCCCACTAGATGGAGTGATGTCACGGTAAAGTATACCTGATGTGTAGTAAGTCGATGAATGCAGGTGGCTCCGGACCGTGTTTTGTGGCATTCCTTGGGCGAGGCCTATATTTAGCAGTAGATTTCCAAGGGTAGTGATGAGGATGATGAGGATATCCGGGATAACAATGTGGATTCTTTATAAGCCTCCCCTAACGACTCAGATTATTATTAATGTTTTTAAATATTGTTGTTTTGATACATACATTTTTTTTCAGCGTGCCGAAGAAGACGAACTAAAATGCAAGCTCGCGTTCTTTCTTCACATACCATTCCCGCCATGGGACATATTTCGCCTGTTACCATGGTCTGACGTAGTCTTACAAGGCATACTAGGTACAATAAATTGTATTTAACCTTAACGGAGGTCATTGCTTTGATAACTTCACGTTTACATTGACATTGTGAACCCGCTGTCACATTCATATCTTTATCTACTCCGTACAGGGTGCGACATGGTCGGTTTTCATATTACCGACTACTGCTTAAACTTCATTGATTGTTGCCAACGAAACTTGGGTTGCCGTGTGGACAGGAAGAACCTCCTGGTCGAACTGGGTGGCAGAACGATTTGCGTGAGACCCCTGCCAATCGGCGTGCCCTTCGACAGATTTGTGCAACTGGCCCACAACGCGAAAACGGTCCTTTCAACCAGCCAGAAAGTCATCCTGGGGGTCGACAGACTTGACTACACAAAGGGTCTTGTTCATCGACTTAAAGCGTTCGAGAGATTGCTGGAGAAACATCCAGAGCACATCGAAAAAGTGGTTTTACTTCAAATCGCAGTTCCGTCAAGAACGGATGTAAAGGAGTACCAGGATTTGAAGGAGGAGATGGATCAGCTAGTCGGCAGGATCAACGGAAGGTTTACTACTCCTAATTGGTCCCCTATCAGGTGAGCTTTGTGGTCATTGCATTAAAAACATTAAACATTTCCAATATACATTTTAAGGAAATTATAATAATAATCGAACCGACCTCCAGACCGAATTTCGGTCACGGTGGGCATTTTCGACGGAGACTAGCCATCTGCGCAGGAAAGAATTATAATGCACGAGTGTGTGCGTAAACACAGTATTCTATTCCCTCACTCTAAGTCCGATGGAACGTCATTCAATTGTCAATAAGAGATCAAGCGCAGGAGAACTTTCTTTTATGCACTTTTCGAGACACAGATGAAACACCGTCAACTTCCTAACTCCAGGTTTGTGAGAAAAACCCATTATCTGATTTTAGCTGGACTCGGGATACTGACCTGGGACCTCGTCAGTAGTCACGCTTACTTAAGGAAATTAATAGGGTATTAAACAAAAATTTGGATTTTTATTTTTTATTTTACTTATTATAGCCAGTGCTTGACTACAATCCCACCTGGTAGTAAATGGTGATAAAGCCCTAAACCTAAATTACATTCTAAGGAATGTCGAAATTATTTTTTTCTTACAAATTGTAGCAGTAAAATAAAGTTACAGCATATTTATGGTCCCAAAGCTGGGTACCTACAGGCCTGTTCTCGTCTTTGAAAGAGTTTTAGGGCAAGGATGTTTCCGCCGCGCTGGCCCAATTCGTATTGGCATACTTATCGTTGAAATAATTCCTCATTTCACAGATTTACTTCACGATGTTTTCTCAAGCAGTCGAGCACGTGTTAAATCAGGACTTATAATTAAAAGAAAATTTTAGTAGGTAGTAACTTTAAAATATTCATCCCCTGTTTTGCCACTTTTGGAGGTGCAAATTTTTTTTCTAATTTATTTGGGACCAGTCTTGAAATTTAAGCTACATATTTAATAAAAAAAAAGAATCAAAATCGGTTCACAATGACGTAGATATCGCGTGACATACTTCTCTTCAATTGAGACCCCTCTCGTTTTTATGAGGTGGAAAGCTATTGAACGATTTGTTCTATCTCCAGATACATTTATGGATGCGTGGGTCAGGAGGAACTTGCTGCTTTCTACCGCGACGCAGCTGTCGCGTTAGTGACACCGCTCCGAGATGGAATGAACCTGGTGGCGAAGGAGTTCGTGGCCTGTCAGATCAACAACCCGCCGGGGGTTCTCATCTTGTCGCCGTTTGCGGGTGCCGGTGAAATGATGCACGAGGCTCTCATTTGCAATCCTTACGAATTGGATGATGCAGCAGAAGTTATGCACAGGTAGAGGAAAGTCAAGATTGTACATTTTAACACGTGGTAGAACCACGGTACAACTATATATTTTATGGTTGTAGCACGAATGGGTCGGCTCGACTGGGTAAAGACCGTACTCTCACAAAATAACAGCGTGAAGAGCAGATTAATACTGCTGTTTCGTTTAGTGATTGTAGTAGCGGGGACACTTTTTAATGGAAACAAGACATTTCATCTTAGTTCTCAAGGGTAACAAAGCGGTTTGATTCTTAATGCAAGACAGGTGTCAACTGCGTGCTCGTTTGTCACCTTATTCTATAAAATTATATTTGTTTGTTCGTAGTTTATGCGTTGCCATACCGTTCATCAGATTGCGTTAAAACTTTGTCAACTTATTGCTTGCACTTGCGCAAAGGTTATAGGCATAATACAATTAACTTACAGTAGTGGCGCGCATATCGTACCCACAGATTTATTTGAAAGTTATATAATATGTAATTCAACTTTAATGAATGTGGTATAATTTCTAATTAGACAATATACCTAACTCTTCCAAATTTATAACTATATTTCCACAATTATTTCTTCTGTGGCAGCAAAGCGCCGGGTACCAGCTACTCGTAGTTATAAATAAAAAAATAAAATCGTTAAATGTTAATAAATATGCTTACATAGATATAGATAAATAATAAGTCAATGTTTTTCACTTTATCAAAGTTGTCTTCTATTGACGTAATAGAGCATATATACAAATTACATTTTTTACAAGTTGTTTAGGTTTCGTCACAAAATAAAGATAGGTGGGATAAGCGCATAGGTCAATGATTTATTATTCTTATAATTTTACCCGAGCCTAAATACCTTTACAGGAGCTTCAATTTCAAATGAATCTGCATGAGCGTAGTCAATATTTACTCCAAGATGGGCCTAAGGGGGCAGACCCTACCGTGATAAAGCACTGCTAGACAGCGTGGAATATTTTTATAGAATAAATTTAAAGCTACCAAGTCTCCTAGGGAGGCACTAGATTCTCGAAGAGAGCCTGATTTATGCTCCTTCCTAGATACGCCCATGAAATTCCGAAAAGACCATTTTTATCTATTTTTTGTCTCAAAATTTTTACAGATATTAGAGTTCAAACAATATAAAAAAGTAACATACAAATTTCTAGAGCGTTAATAATGCCCGAAGACGAGCGCACTGTACGTATGAACCACTTGAGACGGCGGGAACAGTTGAACGACGTGGACAGTTGGATGAAGAGCTTCTTGAAGGCGATGGACTCGCTAGAGGAGGAGGCCGACGACATCGGAGCCACCTCCATGCAACCCGTCACCATCGACGACTTCGATGAATATTTGTCCAAGTGAGTGATGACTCGGTTTTTATAAGTGTGTACCTTTTACCGTACGACTAATTTTATGATATTAAGGGAGAATGAAACTTCTTGTGAACGGGGGTTGCGTGTGGAGATGCTGTTCTGTTCGAATCTGCACTTATGAATGAACTCCAGTTTTATCTTTATCATATATTTTTTTTTATATTCTACTACGCCAGCGCTTACCTACAATCCCACCTGATGGTGGTATCATATTATATAAAGAGTTTGCGTGCTTCAGTAAAATGCCGCCCACGCCACCCAAGCCCCCCACTGCCTGCTCCGCCACGATTGATTACTTATAAAATTGTTCGGTGGGCAGGTACATTGGTTACACACAGAAGCTGGCGCTGCTGCTGGACTACGACGGCACGCTGGCGCCCATCGCGCCGCACCCCGACCTGGCCACGCTGCCGCTCGAGACCAAGCACACGCTGCAGCGCCTCTCCAACATGTCCGACGTCTACATCGCCATCATCTCTGGCCGCAACGTTGACAATGTCAAAGACATGGTGAGATCACTTTGCTTTTACTTCGCTCATTTTAAACTTACCAGATATTTAGAATAAGGCCGCAGCATCCACTTAACATTAGTTATAGTGTGGCCTCGTTTAACATTCTTATTTGTAAAAAAAAAAATAGAGAATCTATCACTCCAGCGAGTGGAATTCTCAATTCGTTATTAGGTAGGAAAACTTTTTGACATTTTACCACAAACGCGGGACCAAATGGGGCAATGAATTCTCAACACAATAGCTAAACGTTTTGCTATAGTCTCCACGCGTGGCACACAAGTTGGTAGCCGCAGATTTTTCTTATTTGAGCTCTAACAGTATGGTGCTACTGCCCGTCTCCTGTTTTAGTTTCTCTCTACCGCCTCTTACGAATCCCACAGGTTGATAATACGTAATGGATTTTCTTACACCACCACTAAACACTATTTATAAATTTACCTCAGACCTCCAGACAAACAAAGAAATATATAAGTACGGAGCGCTGCGTAATTAACAAGTGATATCGAAACCATGCTCAACTTCTTGACACGCATTTACGCACAAATCTTTCTTCTTTCTTTTTTGTTTCTTTATTGGCCTATTAAAATTTCACTGATGGACGCACACATGCTCCTAAAACCATATTGTTGAATTCAAATAACGTGTTAATAATTTGTTAATAAGTTGAACATGGTTCTAGCTTGGGTTTTGCGTCACTCGAAATGAATATTGTACGCAGCGTTCCTCTCTCTTTCTTTGTTGGACTGAGGTATTTATATACCGTTTTTCAATGTCTGAAGCTTTCACTGCTATAGAAGTACGTATTTTATAATTTTCATTTTCATATAAAAATTGCTAAAAAGTGGATTTAAAAGTCAAATGATTACCTACAAAGAATAACACAATAACATAATAGCTGATAATAGTAAGTCGAAATCATTAAGAACATAAACAAACCACTGACGTAAAAAAATTACAAATATCGTAATGAACCAAGATCATGTTATCTACACTCTTTACAGTATTGTTTATTCGGTCAGGGCTATCAAGAGATCATTTAATTTTCCGTTTCATTTCAATTACCGGTTTAAATTCCGCTGTATTTATATGATGCGATAGTTGATTATATTACGAGATATAAATACAGCGATATATAAAACGGTAATTGAAGTGATACCCGCTACCGCTTGCGTTCGCTCATTACGCAGGGTTTGTAGTATACTGTACTGATATAATATACGTCAGTCAATTGCGTTTTACTTGATACTAACTGAAGATTATATAAGTAGTATAAATATTTATACATCGTTGCGCTATAAATCAAATAATTAAAAAGAAAACAAAAATTCACGCTGTCTCTTGCTGGTTCTTCACAGGACAGAAGTTTTCCCGAAGCAGGTGGTGAAAGCATGAATGTCTTTTAATAAGCATCTTGACCTCCATACGTCGACGGGTTCAAGTTCGACAACCGGTTTGATTATTAACGAGTTAAAACTTATTCGTCATTCGTTAACCCTACTTTCGTCGTATCTGAAGTAATTTGATGGTAGGGCTTAATGTAAGTGCGTCGGTGTTTCACATAGATACAAAACTTAATTATTATATTTTTTAAATAGTCGTACATAACTTAAATAAAACTAGTTTTTACGGATTCTATCGCGTATATTAACTTAGTTTATATTCCCGACGTTTCGAGCACTTTACAGCACCCATGGTCACAGGGGGGACTGAGGTGTTTGACGTCTCAATGTCATAGTTAACCACGGCTACCTCCAGATTAAAAATTATTAATTTTTGTTCCGATCTACGCAATATTAACTTACAGTATCTTGAATTCTTGCAGTTAGATACTTCGGTTGGTATTTAATTTTATTAATTTCTATCTCATTTTTTGGCCGGCTAAATCCTTTAGTTGTATATTTTTGCCTCTTTTTAGTGTCGCTTATTCGTTTCATCGAATTTAAAATCACAACGATTCTAAAGAAGTTTTCATTACAATAAACAACAAAAATTACGTAGCGTGGCAATAAACAACAGTGTTATCAAAGCGAACTCTGATCCGTCACTATCGGCGTCTTTAGACAAAACTATTTACGTTGTTAGCCTCCTAGGTTTATACATATAATAGGTGTTAGGTACACGGTCAACATCCTACGACGTTTTAACGTTGTCTCCATAATGAAGTGACACGCAAGAGGCTCGTCGAGACTTGTTACTAAGCTCGTATCTTATTAGCTGATATGACGCATATATAAACATAGAGATGTCACCATGGTCGTTTTATTGAATAAGGGTGACAGACGAACACACAGTCCACCTGATGTTAAGTGGATGACGTGGTCCATAGACACCTACATCTATCCTCGATTTAGAACTAAAATGCAGATTCGTTGTCGCTCCTGTGGACTAAGATAGAACGCCTCTTTTTTTTTAGTAAAACAGGGTCCGAATTTCTACACTCACAATACGAAACACAGCAGAGGTTAAGGTAGAGACGTACTCGTAGTATTGTAAATTGTCATATGTACCTTTTTTTGCCACATTCTGAATTCCCAAAATAGGCATCATTGTATAAGGAATCCCAGTAACTTGGTGTGTTACATTCATTCTTCTTTCTTTATCTTTGTCATGTCTACTATCCCTAAGAAACACACCCTAAATGCACAACCTCATCTATATGCTCAACCAAATCCCGCTTTACTCTTATTTCATATGTCGTTTTACTTCTGCTCTTCCAAAAACCGTCATTTTCATTACCCTTTATTTTATAGATATGTTCATTAATAGTCATTGATATATTAAAGTAACCATTATTTTTCCGCAACTCGCCTGCCGACGGTGCTAATAAGACTTCATCGTTTTTTGTGTCGGCGTACAAGATTTTTACGGTTAACTAACCCATTCGGTTAATTAACCAACATTTTTCGACTTTCAAACTTTCCAAGCAACAGTCCATAAAAAGATTGAACAGTCATGGGGAAGCTAAACAGCCCTATCTAACACCATTATGCATAACAAACCAGTCCGTGTAAGCCCCGTTGATCCTGAAACAAACATAATAAACACTATAAAGATATTTTAATGCCTGCATCAGCCCTGCACTCAATTTAAACGAGGCCAACCTTTGTCTGTTACCATAAAGCAAGCCTGAACGTTGTTATAGGCCTTTTCTATGTCTAAACCTACACAGAAAACTTCGCACAAAAAACGCTCAAGTATACATATAAAACCATTTCCAAGTAACAATATGGATTTAGGTGGAAGTGTTTATTTAGTTATTTTACGAGCTGATAAAGAAAGAAAGAAAGAAAGAAGAAAGATGTGTGCGTGACTGTGAGTCAAAAAGTAGAGGACAATTCCGGCGTATTAACTTTAACTGTACATAACGCTCAGACCTACAATGATAGTCTGAGCGCTACGTACAGTTAAACATTTTGTTGTTTACAATGTTACTTTTTAATTAACATAACGTAAAACGTAAAAATACTGCCTATTACTTATAAATAAATAACTTCATGGTCATCACAGAAAAAAGTGATGCCGCACTTTATTATTCACAGAATTACTAACATTTTTCAATTATTTTCACTATGTTGGCATCCCAGCTTACGCAAATAGGTACTTTGGCCGTGTAAGGGTAGTGGAGATCTCCCACCGGGCAAGGTCTTTGGCCCGGATAGTAACCAACGGCCCATGCGATAGTTCGGAGCTATTCTTATTCTATATGTACCGCACTACTTCGAAACTTTGATAGCGTGATAGCGCTTCAGTGTTTCGCTTGTGGCGCGACGCCAGTGCCGCCACATCACCCCCCTTCTCAGACCGGAGGTTGATGGTGCAGTCTAGTTCTCGACGAATGTCCAAGTTGCCAGGGGTTAGGGATCAGGGTGGTCTGTGGTGATTTGAGAAGACTACAAGTAGTCTGCGAGAGTGCCGTGAAGCAGAGGCAAGCAGTAAGACTCAAAGCCGTGCCGAACACTGTAGCGTAGGGTAGCTTAAAGGAACAGGAAGCATTATTCCAGTGCTGCGATGAACCTTGTAAAGTTAAATGACTTGCAGGATCTGAAGACTGCAGACTATATCTGCTCGGGAGCGACTGAATGGGATTAGGTGAGGATGATGACGAAATGGTTGATGATGATGGCTTGTAAGTTGAGGTTTCCGAAGGTTGCATGATTCGTGTTCACATCACGTCGGTTCGTCCCCAATGTGGCCGTGGAAGGAAAAGGGAGACCTCCCGCTGGGCAAGGTGATCGGCCCGGGGAGCGGCCAACGCTCCGTATGTTAGTACAGAGCTGTTCTATAAATATAAAGCAGTACTTCGAAACTTTGATAGTTATTTTAGGTTTCAATGCGTTTCGTTTGTGGCGCGTCGACAGCGCCGCCACGTTATGATTTAATTTTAAATTTCAAAACAAATAAATAAGGACAATTGTTGGAATGTACTTTTTATAAAATAATTTTCTACGGGACTTACCTACTTAGTTTCACTTTGCTTGGCATAGGCCGTAGGCATTATTGACCGCAGTGCCTCAAATATCCCACATTGTTATCTTTATTTTCATTTATTTATTTACTCTTGATTGCGTACAACACCCTAATAATAAAAAGGGTAGTTACTACGATGAGAACAATAATTGATGAATCTAACTATAATGCAACGGCTTTTATATATTGGTCAAAACAACCTTGTTTTAACTAACCATAACAATAAAACTAAAACAGTGGCGTGTTCTGCAACATTATATTTCATAACAAAACTTTTACGAGTAACGTAATACAAGACTCATACGGCGGCTCTACACGTTGGCCAACAACGATGGCCATCGTGTAGAGCGGGTGTTTAAGCAACGTTGATATGTATTGGAACGATGGCCCACAAGTTGGCGCGAGATCCGTGTGGTGTCGGTTTTTTGCAAAAGATCAAAGGGTTGTGGCAGAGTATTGGCCGTCGCGTCCACACGTTGGGCGCACGTTCAGTTTGCTACGAGCTCCCAGAGTGATCGCACGCACCTTATTTAAATTTTATATGTACGTATCGTAACTAGTGTCTACATAATGGCAGTAACAATGACCAATGAAAAAACTTTTCTCTTTATAGAGCCCTACCAAGCCGGAAATTGTTTGTGAAACATAAGTTTTCAAGTCTTTTTTTTTAAATAAACGTTATCCCCACACTAGGATTTATCGTGGAGGCAGTTTACAAACATAAATTGCATAAGGACAAACATCCAAACCCGGAGCAATTATTTGCAGGCCATACAAATACTTGTTCCGTGCGAGATTCGAACCCTCGGCCCCCAACGCAGCAACTCATTGCTAAGCCACTACGCCACTGAGTCGTCAAGAAATAAAATTTCCTTTTTTCCATTTCTTTTCGATCACCCTTTTCTTATACACATTCACGTTATAGTGGTATGCTGTAAATAAATAAACCGCAGCAGCCGTTAACGCATCAATAATCATTTTAATAAATTCGTCCGCACATTGGCCTGAACCAAAGCAAACTGAACGACCTTCCAACGTGTGGACGCGATCACAAATTCTTGGCCAATATCTCTGCCAACACATTCGCTACTATGTTGGCCAACGTGAAGAGCCGCCATTAGCTATAACAATTCGATATCAACAGTCATATCACGCTAATTGCACACTGTATAACTTAGTACAAATAAATATCTATATTATCCTACACATAACCATAAAACAGACGTAGGAATATTGTCCATATTAACACACGCCCACAGTATTTAAAACATATTCACATAACATTTACGTATAGTGACAGCGTAAGAGAAACCACTACGCAGTATCGGCATCTTCCCGATAACAGTTCAAAATAATTATAGAAAACTGCTAAGAGGCAATTTTTAAGGAAAACCTATGTTGAGCCCATTGAGATAATATGTTACTACGTAAGTAACATATTATCTCAATGGTTGAGCCATGAACTTTTGGTAGGATGTAAACTGTAATGAATTAACGAAAATATTTAAACAAGATCTTTTCTAGATAGGTATGTACTTACCTAATGTAGGTACTAAACATTAATCTTATGACAGAAAGAGTAGAATTTAACTAATATAATATCATGTTTTCAGGTGGGAATAGAAGGAATCACATACGCTGGCAACCATGGTCTAGAGATACTACATCCCGATGGCAGTAAATTTGTACATCCCATGCCCATGGAACTGCAAGACAAAGTGGTCGAACTCCTCAAGGCCCTGCAGGAACAGGTGCGATTCCTTAAAGTTTATATATAAAGACTGTTTTTTCATTTTTGCTATGCATAAATTCTATCAAGTTGGCATTAGTGTATTAAAAATAAAGACTGGCAAATATTTAGGTTATATTTATAACTGTTAGTCATTGTTAATATAGAATTGTTGGCTAACGTTGGTTTATTTCAAATTAGCTCATTTTACTACTAGGGTGGTCTGAAAAGTTTCCGACCTCAACGTGAAGTCATCAGCACTCGTCAATAAAAGCTAGAGAATGTAGTTGTGCATCTTTTGCATGGGCATGCAACTTAGAACATTATTTAACGAACAAAATGATACGTTTTATGTGCTTCCATCTACATTCCGAAGCGCTAGGCTAGACTTATTTTAATCTCACTAGAGGGCACTTATATATTAAGTCTATGCATACGCAATAATCCACGCGCACTACGCAGTTAGTAGCGGTCACTGGTTACGCTTAAATTCTTATTAATATTTATTGAACATTATTTATTTTTAGAAAATGCCATTTTATCTGTGTTTTCAGACAATGAAAAACTGCTAAAATATTATTAGAATACGAAGGTAAATTTCGCCACAAGGCGTAAGTTTATAATAGAGCTCAGGTGGATAATCGGTCGGTCCCAAAATCTAAAGACCCGGATCGCGTCCAACAGATGTGTTTATTTTTTCCCATTTTTTCAAGTTCCTTCTTTTGTAAGCGCCGTCTGTTATGCAAAGTACGACACTAAAGAAAATTAAATTTGAGTCGTGCATCTATCTCTAGTATATATACAGTAATCTATGATCTTTTGACAGTTATTACGCACCAAAATTTCGGCCATTATGGACGCGTAGTTGTTATTTGACAATCACTTGAGTGAGTCGATGTGTCTTTTTGTGAAAATGGAAAAAATTGAGTATCGAGACGTCATAAAATTTTTACTCTGTGTATGGGGACTCTAATAGTAAATTTTTCGGAGCATTTCCGCTGTGCGCGGACAGTGCCGCAAGATTTTAGATTTTGCTTGGCTAAGTTGTATTGCAATAGAGGAGAATTGAAAAAGTTGTCAATGTAAACCTCGCATCCTAGTCCGATCAAAGGTTTTGAGCTCTAGACTAGAGAGACTGTCGACTCTCCTAGTCCTATCCCTGATCCCGATCTTTTTTTACCCGTGTACAAGTCGAACTGCAATAAATATCCTGTTTTAGAATCGGCGTAGCACAACATTTTGAAATCTCTCTTCACAAGTTTATTTTGCATGTATTGCTTCATTATGTTATGCCCTTTGAACTTCACCATGTGTTCATCTATAGACTGGGTAAGGGTTTATTATACATGGCCGATTGGAAAGATGAAATGAAGTGATTCATCACTCTTTGAGTTTTATAAGCTCTATCGAAATCTGGCGATGTAGGTGGTTGTTGCTCAAAGTTATTGCAAAAATGTAAATTTCTTGTTATTTCTTCGAATCTCGATAAAGGTAACTGTGGGTAAATAAAGCACGCCCATATCAGGTTCAGTAGACCAGTAATTTCTGGGAATAGGTAACACATAATAACCCATCCGGTACTGCACCACTCAATGGCGAATCAGAAAATGATAAAGGGCCAGGAGTTGGATCTGGATCTGGGGTGGAATCTGGTACAGCTGCGGGCTCAATTCTAACTTCAGATACTCCAGCTTCCATATCCTGGATAATGAACGCCTGGTCTTCTTCATCCAACATTAGTGCATCTTCATCATCACTTTTATCAGCCATGAGATAATCATCTACTTCTTTTTCCCCTCCGAGCCTAAAACAATAAAGAATTGTATAAATTTACTATAATTATTGAAATGAAAAAATATAAATATGGAACATAAAATTTCGAAATGTTAGAAGCTGTTGGCTTACCTTTTATGCATATTGGGACACCCATATCCCTATCCCTATTAATAATATATCTTGTATTTTCATTGGTTTAATGGGTAACATTACAATAAATAACAATAAATGCATAATGGTTACTTACAATTCAACCACAATCAAACACAAAAATTATTAGATCTGCAAAAACTATATTTTAATTAACTTTTTTTATAGCAGAAGGGTGACATACGAGCACACAGTCCACCTGATGGTAAGTGGTTGCTGTGGCCCATAGACATCTAAATCTATCTTCGTTTGCGAATTAAAATGGAGATGCGTTGTCACCCGTGAGGACTAAGATGGAATGCCTCTTTTCCAGTAAAAATGGTCTCCGGTTCTCACCAGCTCACCACACACACTCCCCACACGAAACAGCAGCATTAAGCTGCTATTTCACGCTGGTTTTCTGTGAGAGCGTGGTCCTTCCCCGGGCCAGCCGACCCATTCGTGCTACAACTATACTATTAATATAGCTGCAGCATGGCTCTACCACGTATACCTAAACCTATATAACTTTTGAAAAATATTTATGAAGCGCGCCAAAATATCCAAAAGTAATAAGGAGATATTTGTTTCTTTTTTACGCGCCGCGCTACCAACTTTAAAAAGTTAAAAGTTTCGTTCAAATACAATTGATGAGGAGTTCTGTTTTGTTTTAATTATTGATTATATCAGTAAAAATGTAAGTTAAAATTTAGGGATACCGGTGTCCCATTTACGTGAAAGGGTTAATAAAATCCTTGAAATGATTTACTATTTATTTGTTGCTTCTCTCAAACGGCGTGAAATGGCTGATTTGTCTGTGTTGATGGTTTCACCTTTTTTTGTGTACTCGAACAATAGTATTTCCTTGGAATCCCAAACCCCTGTGGCCATGATTTTACCGGCCGATGGAGTGACTTTGAATTTCTTTGTCTGATCTCTTTTTATGCCATCTGACTTTTGTGAGGTTGAGATAGTTATGCATTATGGTGTGTATGGTACCAGCGAAAAGGTTAGTAATTTCTGCTAACATCTTAATTCTTACTCGTGCATCTTTTAATACAAGTTTTTAATAATTTTCACCTTTACTTCTGTAGCCGCTGTGATTGGCTCACCCGGGCGGGATTCATCTTCGTTGCTTTCCCTGCTTCTTTTCAATTCACTTGACCATTTTTGTACGGTTGATATTGAAGGAGCAGAGTCGTGGTAAACGGCCACCATTTCTTCATGAATTTTTTTTTTAGTTTTTCCTTGTTTAGTGAGGAATTTAATCACCGCATGGTGTTCGTTTTCTTTCAACATTGTCATGTCAGTCATTACCGTCGTCTATGATTGAAGGTTAGATAGATGTAATGAAGTTATCAAGACAAAATTTCATATTTAGGTGGTGTCGTTAGATAATGTTTTTTTTTTAATTACCCACATTTATACCACAACCCACAAATATATTGAATATATGTTTACTGTGCTACAAGTAAAACCAACCCGCTATTGTGAGATAGAAACACTATACTACATCTACATCGGCAGGTGTGCAAAGACGGTGCGTGGGTGGAGAACAAGGGAGCGCTGCTCACATTCCACTACCGTGAGACGCCGTTGGGCAAGCGCGCCGCACTCGCAGAGCAGGCGCGCCGCCTCATCACCGCCTCCGGCTTCACGCCCGCGCCCGCGCACTGCGCCATTGAAGCGCGCCCACCCGTGCAGTGGAACAAAGGTACCTGCACCATTTCACCATCATCATCATCATCACCGCCGCCGCCGGCTACACGCCCGCGCCCGCGCACTGCGCCATTGAAGCGCGCCCACCCGTGCAGTGGAACAAAGGTACCTGCAGCATTTCACCATCATCATCATCATCACCGCCGCCGCCGGCTACACGCCCGCGCCCGCGCACTGCGCCATTGAAGCGCGCCCACCCGTGCAGTGGAACTAAGGTACCTGCACCATTTCACCATCATCATCATCATCATCACCGCCGCCGCCGGCTACCCCCCCGCGCCCGCGCACTGCGCCATTGAAGCGCGCCCACCCGTGCAGTGGAACAAAGGTACCCGCACCATTTCACCATCATCATCATCATCACCGCCGCCGCCGGCTACCCCCCGCCGTGCCCGCGCACTGCGCCACTGAAGCGCGCCCACCCGTGCAGTGGAACAAAAGTACCCGCACCATTTCGCCATCATCATCATCATCATCACCGCCGCCGCCGGCTACCCCCCCGCGCCCGCGCACTGCGCCATTGAAGCGCGCCCACCCGTGCAGTGGAACAAAGGCACCCGCACCATTTCACCATCATCATCATCATCACCGCCGCCGCCGGCTACCCCCCGCACCCGCGTACTGCGCCATTGAAGCGCGCCCACCCGTGCAGTGGAACAAAAGTACCCGCACCATTTCACCATCATCATCATCATCATCATCACCGCCGCCGCCGGCTAACCCCCGCGCCCGCGCTATTCGCCATTGAAGCGCGCCCACCCGTGCAGTGGAACAACGGTACCCGCACCATTTCACCATCATCATCATCATCACCGCCGCCGTCGGCTACCCCCCCGCGCCCGCGCACTGCGCCATTGAAGCGCGCCCACCCGTGCAGTGGAACAAAGGTACCCGCACCATTTCACCATCATCATCATCACCGCCGCCGCCGGCTACCCCCCCGCGCCCGCGCACTGCGCCATTGTAGCGCGCCCACCCGTGCAGTGGAACAAAGGTACCCGCACCATTTCACCATCATCATCATCATCATCACCGCCGCCTCCGGCTGCCCCCCCCGCGCCCGCGCACTGCGCCATTGAAGCGCGCCCACCAGTGCAGTGGAACAAAGGTACCCGCACCATTTCACTATCATCATCATCATCACCGCCGCCGCCGGCTACCCCCACGCGCCCGCGCACTGCGCCATTGAAGCGCGCCCACCCGTGCAGTGGAACAAAGATACCCGCACCATTTCACCATCATCATCATCATCACCGCCGCCGCCGGCTAACCCCCGCGCCCGCGCATTGCGCCATTGAAGCGCGCCCACCCGTGCAGTGGAACAAAGGTACCCGCACCATTTCACCATCATCATCATCATCACCGCCGCCGCCGGCTACCCCACCCGCGCCCGCGCACTGCGCCATTGAAGCGCGCCCACCCGTGCAGTGGAACAAAGGTACCCGCACCATTTCACCATCATCATCATCTACACCGCCGCCGCCGGCTACCCCCCCGCGCCCGCGCACTGCGCCATTGAAGCGCGCCCACCCGTGCAGTGGAACAAAGGTACCCGCACCATTTCACCATCATCATCATCATCACCGCCGCCGTCGGCTAACCCCCCGCGCCCGCGCACTGCGCCATTGAAGCGGGCCCACCAGTGCAGTGGAACATAGGTACCCGCACCATTTCACTATCATCATCATCATCACCGCCGCCGCCGGCTACCCCCCTGCGCCCGCGCACTGCGCCATTGAAGCGCGCCCACCCGCGCAGTGGAACAAAGGTACCCGCACCATTTCACCATCATCATCATCATCACCGCCGCCGCCGGCTAACCCCCGCGCCCGCGCACTGCGCCATTGAAGCGCGCCCACCAGTGCTGTGGAACAAAGGTACCCGCACCATTTCACTATCATCATCATCATCACCGCCGCCACCGGCTACCCCCCCGCGCCCGCGCACTGCACCATTGAAGCGCGCCCACCCGTGCAGTGGAACAAAGGTCCCCCACCATTTCACCATCATCATCATCATCACCGCCGCCGCCGGCTAACCCCCGCGCCCGCGCACTGCGCCATTGAAGCGCGCCCACCCGTGCAGTGGAACAAAGGTACCCGCACCATTTCACCATCATCAACATCATCATCATCATCACCGCCGCCGCCGGCTACACGCCCGCGCCCGCGCACTGCGCCATTGAAGCGCGCCCACCCGTGCAGTGGAACAAAGGTACCCGCACCAATTCACCATCATCATCATCATCACCGCCGCCGCCGGCTACACGCCCGCGCCCGCGCACTGCGCCATTGAAGCGCGCCCACCCGTGCAGTGGAACAAAGGTACCCGCACCAGTTCACCATCATCATCATCATCACCGCCGTCGCCGGCTACACACCCGCGGCCGCGCACTGTGCCATTGAAGCTCGTCGGCTCGAGCATTGGAACAAATGTAACCGAACTTCATCGTCATCATCCAATGACCTCTACATGTACTACTATTCGGGCCACTACGGTACTAATACATTGCGCACTAAATTACGCTCAAAACTTACATACGTGATAGAGCAACGCTGTAGCTATTATATTATGGTTGTAGCATGATTATTATGTTGTATAGTTGTAGTCGGCTCGGCCGGTGTAGAACCACGCTCTCATAAAATACCAGCGTAAAATAGCAGCTTAATACTGCTGTGTTTCGTTGTTTGGAAACGAGGCATTCCATCTTAGTCCTGAGGGATGACAAGCCATCTGCATTTTGATTCTTAATCGAGGATAAATGTAGATGTCTATGGGCCACAGCATCCTGTTACACCACGGCGATTAGGACAACTGCAGTAACTTAGTTTTTACTGATTACGAAAACAATAACGCTTGTTCGTTCGAATCTAATCATGTTAAATATTACACTTGTTCGGTAAGATTGGAGGCTGCAACGTAGAAGCAAATCTGAAATTTCGCACAAACGACAGTAGTTCGGCTGAGATTAACCCGAGCGCTGGGTAACGCAGTAATCCAACCTGTCCTGTGATACCCTGCAGAAATTAAGGAATCTACGTTCCGCAGGTCGAGCATCAATCTATATCCTAAGAACGGCGTTTGGATTGGACTGGAGTGAAAGAATCAGAATTATCTACGCAGGTGATGACGTCACCGATGAAGACGCCATGCTGGTAAGAATTGACGTTAATATTGTAATAGTCGCCCGAGTTATATAAGTTAAAAACATAGAATTAGTAAAAGTATCTTTTTGGCTCAATTTTTTTAATTAATGTTCGACAGCTCATGTTGTTAAAATAAACTAAAATAAACAAGTTAATTTAAATAGAAATTAAAAATTTCATTGTCTATTTAGGCCCTGAAAGGTATGGCTGCAACATTCCGCATCGCTTCCTCGCACATAACAAAGACATCGGCCGAGAGACGTCTGTCATCCCCGGACTCTGTGCTGGCGATGCTCAAGTGGGTGGAGCGTCACTTCTCCCGTCGCAAGCCTCGTGCTAACTCGCTCACATACAAAACCGCTAGAAAAGCCAGAGACACTCTTCAAATGCACATGTCCTACCAGCCACCTACGAAAACATCGCCAAAGCCCACCCCGCCGCTAAGTCCTGATAAATTATCAAGCGGCTCCGAATCGAGTTAGACTGAACGAGGATTTTCTTTGCCTATAAAAAAAAATGTTGGTCGTAAGTTTGGCGCCAATATCGTTCCTGTCAAACATAGAATGTTTGCTTTTAATGTTAGATTATACTGGTATCGACTGACAAGTTTACTTTAAGCAATTTAACCAATATTTTATTTTATAATATTGGAGTCGCAGCTTTGTGTATGAATGTATATGTAATAAAATAATAATCTATATGTGTACCTTTACAATTTGAAATACTACACATATTTACAAATAATAACTCTACAAATATAAATCGATATGAAGCTAACATCCTGTTTTTAGGGTCAAACACGGAACAAATACAAAGAGGTGTTGTAATTAGACTTCACTATATAACAACGCGTGACAATTTGCGGGGTAAGGGGATGTTAAGCCCCGCCCACTTTACTATTTTCAATCTACCGATAAATAGTAGAACTACTCGCATCGTTCCATATCGATGTTGCACTGTAGTTTAGCTACCTTGACGATAGATGGCTGCCTGTTCAGAAAATGATTATAAAAACTATAAAATTAATATTTTGGCGAATAAAAATTCTTTAGGACTGGATGCAAAACAAATTTCAACACATTCGTATGATTATTTTACCAATACTGAGCTCTACGTACCTTTTTTAGTTCCCATGACACAAAGTGTCACCATCTAGGGTCGAATATATTTAATTACATTTGAAAGCCGACGCAGAGATTTTTCTAGTGCCTTTTTAATAAATTAGGCATAAAATTACTTACAAATTAAATGTGATGCCATCCATAGCATCAGAGCGTCTATCTGAGTAGCTTTTACATTTTAAAACACAACACTTCATCCTTTTCTTCTTAATATTACGAAAATACACCGATTTGAGATTTTCGGCACATAAGCGCACAGGACGAACGCTGACAGTATACTAAGTAGAGGTACGCCCACTGTGATGACGTCAGGACCTAGTTAGAATCACAGTGCACAGTTGCTTATGCCATCTCCTCTTTGTATTTCAGTCAAATCAATATAATACAATAATTAATACCATCATCGATTCCATATCTTTAAGCGATGCATTTGTCCTTTTATCTTTATTTCTGAATATGATTGTTGAATTTAATTTACTATTAGCCACGACTCCAAAGCGATATTATTAGTAGGCAAGTTATGAATGCATTAAGTGTGTCACACGCACATAATAATTTTTACTATTTTATCCTTAGGTAATTTATCGACGCATGAGGCTTAATAATTTAAAGTATTGCGATTTACAAATATAAAAAACGTACGTGTTTTTGCATTTCCGATAAAATTAACATTGCCATGTTTTATAAGGTTTTATAAGGCAACTTACATAAATAATTATCAATATCAAAATACGATTAAAATATATGCTTGTATACGCATGCCAATAAAGAATAGGATCAAAATGGCGGTTGATCTCGAGCCATTTTACTCGTACATTATTCACATCTTTGTTTAAACCTGTACGGTAAAAAATAATTAAGTTCCACTTTTCTTAAATTGAAAGGTTGAAATTTGAATTGCCTGTCGCAGTTACCATTTGGGTTGTACGTTTTGTTAAATTTTTACAATTTGTTATTGTTCGTTATTGTTATGTGTTCAATGTTTTTATTTATTGAAGTTATCATAGGTATTAGTTGGAATGATTTCTCTTAAGAAGTTATTTGTATTAACTAGCATAACCTAATTAACGTACACCTAAATAAGCACAAATTAATCTCATTACATAACTAATCACATGTTATTTAATCATTCAAAATCATTTTGATATTAAGTATGAGCAAAAATGAATAAAATTACTTTTATATTGTTCATACTTTTATGATTTCTATTCCTTAATGGCACGCGTTATAATAACTATTCGAAAGTATCCCTTCTAAAGTTAAAAACCTATATATAAAAATAAGAGATGAAAAACTTTTTAATAATAAAACGTTATACAAATGTGCATTTTGATCTGATTCATTTTTTAATATTGTACATTTTGTAGGTGTCAATTTTTGAGATATGAAATTATACTCTTTTAATATGCAATCAACTTTTTTATTCGAGACATATTTTGAGGTTGTTTAAATATTTAACAACAATTGTTCCAAACATTATGCATGTAATTAGGATTATTATTTTATTTTTTATGTGATAGAGAGATAGTGATATTTTTAATTTATGTTAGAAAAACTTTGTACAGACAGAAAAACAATCACATTACTTTCAAATTTAATTCGTAATCATATCCTTATCCAGTTAATGTTCATATTCTTTATCAGTGTACACATTCAAATTATTACAATATTAAGTTTATGGTGGAAATCAGGATCTTCAAAATTTCCTATTTTGCAATATAAATCATAATGAAATGTCAATTTTTTGTATTTGACAAATGAAATTATCATAAAATTAGTTTCCTTTGTTTATTGCATAAGATTATTTATAAAATTTATATCTAAAATATTTTAATTACATAAAAGAGCTCGTATAACATAAATATCTGCAAAACTAGTCTAGTTAGTGTACCTGCCCTATAACTGTAATGTATCCAAAATGTACTGAATGTCTCGAATTTCCATAAGCTATGTATTTTTAGACACATATTATGTTTTGTAAGGTATTCAATAAAATACTACAGACAGAAAATAGCTTTTTTTAAATTAATAATATGTACAAAAGTCATGTGTTAGTATTTTGGAGTAATAACTGTAGTTATAAATGGAATGCTTGATATAATTATTACAAGTGTTGTTGCGTAATTTTTTTGCCGACAATCTCTGGTATCTAAACGTCAACTTGTGCATATCATTTTTCGAACATTGCTTCTTAATACGTTTTATATCAGATATACCGAAAGGTGATTCACCATTATTCATATTTCGAATAAATATATTAAAATCTTAATTATCTTAAAAAATGTATTCACAAATTACTCTAAAAAGTCCATATCACAATAATAAATACAAAATACTTGGTACTAACAGACTGAGTGCGTTTAAACGTTACTGTGAGAGACAACCAGCCACGATAAAATGAAGTAGAACAAACATATTGGATACACCGCCAGTCCTTTTTTGCCTTCCGGTTGACTGTCTCCGAGGAACTTGGTCGCCGCTGGAACAAATACAAAACGATGGTAAATTACCAATTAAAAGCAAACTCCGAGCATAGCCCTCTCCATAGCTCGCTGAACCACCTTGAGCTTCCTCATCCTTCCAGCAGTGAAGGACCACGTCTCAGTTCCATAGGTCATCACTGGCAACACACACTGGTTGTACAGTCTCGTTTTCAAGTTTTGAGGTATACCTGACGAGAAGCAATCTTGCAATCTTGCAATCTTTTTTTATAGAAGAGGGGGCCAACGAGCATGCGGCTCACTTGATGGTAAGTGACTACTACCGGCCATGAACAACCGCAACAGCAGGGGAATTGCAGATGCGTTGCCGGCCTTTTAGAAAGGTGTAAGCTCTTTTTCTTGAAGGTCCCTAAGTCGTATCGGTCCGGAAAAATCGCCGGTGGTAATCAATTCCAGAGAAGTTGTACGAGGAATAAAACTCCTAGCATGCACAAGAAAACGCACAGTCGTGGACTGTCAAGCATCCAGATGGTGAGGAAGGTATCGTGATTCGTGAATTTTGACGCGATGTGCGTTCGTGAAATTTGGCGGTTGGAATTAATCCGAACAATTCGCCAGAGCACTCCCCGTAGTAGATTCGATAGAAAATGCAAAGGGATACAACATCCTTACGCGGCGCTAGTGTATCGTGCCGATCAGAAAGAACTCGGTCGTCGACGATTCGAACCGAACGGACTCGAACCGCTCTGCGCTGTATGCAGTCAAGTGGAAGGGGCTGGCGCTGGGGTGCCCCAGCCCAGAGATGAGAACTGTATTCCACGTGAGGCCGAACTTGCGGTTTGTAAAGTTGCAAGCGATGTACCGGCCTGAAATAATGTCTCGCTCTGCTGAGCACGCCAAGCTTTTTAGGGGCCAATTTGACCTTTCCTTCCAAGTGACCACGAAACTGCACACGATTCAATATGTCGACGCCGAGGATTCTGATGCTAGCTGAGGCAGCAAGGGGAGTGCCTTGAAACTGAGGAGATATGACAAAGGGGTTCTTTTTAGCAGTAAACGCACAAACTTGTGTCTGCTGGGGATTGAACTGGACTAGATTTAGTCGCCGCCAATCCGAGACTTTGTTCAAAAAAGACTCTACTTCAGACACAAGTTTGTCCCGGTACTCTGCGATGTTTTCCCGAGAAATATTGACACGGCCGGTGTATAAGGCATCACCAATGCTGCCGTCTGCATAGCAATGAATGTTATCAGCTTACAACATATCATTGATATACAAAAGAAACAGCGTTGGTGATAGCACGCAGCCTTGTGGAACACCAGCGTTAGTAGGCTTGTAATCAGAGCATACACCGTCTACTACGATCATGATGCTCCGATCAGCAAGGAAACTGGTGATCCAATTGCACAATTTCTCGGGAAGCCCATAAGAAGGGAGCTTCGAAAGAAGTGATTTGTGTCAGACCCGATCGAAGGCCTTCGCTATGTCCAAACTAACGGCCAATGCCTGGCCTTGGACTCTAACTGCCTCCGCCCATCTATGAGTCAGATAGACCAGAAGATCACCGGCTGATCGACCCCGACGAAAACCGTATTGGCGGTAACTAATCGGTTGGTAATCCTCAAGGTACCTCATGAGCTGGCAGTTTATAGAAGACTCCATTATTTTGGAGAACAAAGAGGTGATGGCGATAGACCTGTAGTTGGACGGGTCTGAGCGGTCGCCTTTTTTAGGGATCGGGTAGACCAAAGCTGTCTTCCATGAATTTGGGACTACACCTTGGGAGTAGGAGTACCGGAAAAGACGCGTTAAAACCGGTGCCAACTCCGGAGCACACGTCTTCAGCACAATTGGAGGGAATCCATCAGACCCACTCGACTTGGTGACGTCCAAGAAGAAGAGTGCTTTGCGAACCGAGCGCTGTGTAAACCGCACATCCGGCATGGAGCACTCACCCCGCGGGATGGTCGGCGGTGTGTTCCCCCCGTCATCTAGAGTCGAGTTGGACGCAAAGAGAGAGCCTAACAGATAGGCTTTCTCCTTTGCGGTATGGGCCAGTGAGTCATCCTCTCTGTGCAGTCTCAGTTCAGTCCTTGTACAACCTTGGCGAGAGACCAGAATGCGCGGGTTCCCGAAGAAAGGTGAACTATTCTGCCGATGTGCTCAGACCTTGCCTTGACAATGGCTCTTTTGAAGGACCTGGAGGCGGAATCATACTTCTTTTTAAGAGCGTTGGTGTTTACATCCCGAGACGTTGATGCATCAGCCAAGGCCCGGTAGCACTCCTGCTTCTAGCGTGATGCTATTTTACTGGAGCGACCAAACCATGACTGGGATCTGCCTCCGATGGGTACCACAGAGGGTGGAAAAAAAGTTCCATACCCTGAAGTACCACATCAGTAACAACGCTGGAATCTTCCGGCGAGAAGCAAACCCGCCCCCAAGGGTAGGATACAAAACAGACCGCATCCTATCCCAATCGACCGACCTATAGTGCTAGACACGGCGGCAGCCTGCAGAATGCAACCGCAATTTCAGTGTAAGTGGACCCACCCCGGACTAGACAATGGTGCGAGGAGCCAAGAAGGGCGTCGACGGAGACTTGATATCTGAGATGAGAGGTTAGCAGAAGGTCCAACAGGAAAGATGCATGATCCTCCACATCTGGAATCCGCGTAGGCGAAGTAACCAGTAGTGTCAGATCATACGCCAAGGCAAAATCATGAACAGATCTTGCCACATGATCGGTTAAACGTGAACCGAGCCATTTGGCGTGGTGGGCGTTAAAATCGCCGAGGATCACGATCTCTGCGGATGGGATCTGTTGTAGCAAGGAATCTGTAGCCTTTTGGACGTGGTCGATGAGTCGGTCTGTTTCGGCATTACCGCTATGGGACCTATAGAGGCACCCGACGACAGATACCCTCTCTGACGTACACGCAAACTCCAGCCCAGGGTATAAAGGAGTGTTCTAATTTGTCCCCCGGGTAGGAGATATGAAATATCAGCCGGAGAGGACACCTAAGTCTCGATTAAAAAGAGCAGAGCCGGCTTTGCCGTCTCTAGATGGTAGTGGACAGCGTCAAGGCTGGAATGAAGTCCGCTGGTGTTGCAAAAAATCACTCTTTTTGCAACACATTCAATTGAACTCTGGGTCACTTTGGTCTTATTGCTCCGTTTGTCCCGAGCATTATTAGTCGCGAGCGGAATTTTCTCTGGCAAAGACTTTAGAGCCCTAGTTCCGTTCGATCGCTTCTTCAACACGAGCAGTATTAAAGTTGCGTAAGTCCCGCTGCATGCATTTGGAGATCTGTCTGTTCAGTTGCCTGTAAGCTGTCAAATCTACTAAAGACTGCAACTTCATTTCCCGTCTAACAGCCATGAGATTAAGAGTGTGATCGGAGAGTTTCTGTGTTCTTCTGCGGCGGGTCTTGCAAAACTTAGCTCCGACCGCATGGACAATTTTCACGAGCTTGTCATTCATATCGTCCACTGCACTGCAATCTTCTAGGCACTGAAAACGGTTTTGTAGCTTGAGCTGAGGTAAGGTTTCGGGACTTTGGATTAGAGCATGAGGGGTACGGAGCGTTGAATTCATTAGACGTGCCCTCTCCAACTTAACGTTTAGGTTCAGTGTGCTTCTCACCATTCGGTAATCGCTGCCGGTTTTCACCCTCACGATCACTGAGACATCACTGACCAGTTGTCGTCCCATTGACCGTGACCATTTTTTGTCGAACCGTTGGGGCTCAACCAGGTCCACTTTCTGTGGAGACGCTTCTGTAAGAAAGAGTTCATCGTAAAGAGTCCCTCTTTCTCCATGAAGTCGGCCAGCTGCTGGCCCCTTGGGTTCCGTTGCCCTATTCCAAATTTCCCTACCTTCAGCTCAATGTTCTCTCTTGTGCCTAGTTTGCGTAGCGTTGAAGTCTCCCATTAACATTGTATAGTAGGTTTTAGAGGAATGCATGGCTCTAGATATAATTTCATACATTTCCTCCACCTCCTCATCGGGATGTGTATGACCTTCAGCGAATACCGTTTGGTGATTCTGAGTATAAGGTACGCAATCCTCGTCGACATACTCTCAATCTTTACAACGTTGTTAACGGGAGACTTGGGGACGATAAATCCGACACTTCCTTGGGACAGATGGTCGCCCTCCCGGTAATAGAACAAGTTACCGGATTCGAGAATTACTATGTCCTCCCCCTCTCTTCGGACCTCAGATAATCCTATAATATTCCAGCGCAACCTGTCTATCTCTTCTTCCAGCTCCAGTTATATGTTGCCAGGTCAAGTCGTCTTAGGTGGCAACCGAACCGTAGATTCTTAGCATTCCCTGCCCCGCCGTTATCATTTTTGCCACCGTAGCCAGGAATAGCGGGGCCGCCGGGGACTGGGGGCCCTGTCTTTGCAACTTTAATCATGGGGAGTATATTGCTATAGTTACGCTTGGCGAGCCGGATGATAACTGCAGTTTTTTTATTGTTGTTTTGCTGTTATCAGAAAGATGCTGCTGCCCATCTTCTGCCTCAGTTTCCTTCTGTCGCCTCTTACGACACCCACGGGAAGATATGGAGTAGTGGGTATTCTTACCCGCCACTATACGGGGAGTCTAGTTCTATCTCTATCATCGTCATCATTACAGCCCTTCACAAGTCCATTGCTGAACATAGGCCTCCCCCAAAGAATGCCACAAAGCACGGTCCTGAGCCACCTGCATCCATCGACTTCCTGCATATCTTACCAGGTCGTCACTCCATCTAGTGGGGGGACGCCCTACACTTCGCCTGCCGGTACGAGGCTGCCACTCGAGAACCTTTCTTCCCCATCGGTTTTCGGTTCTTCGAGCTATATGGCCGGCCCATTGCCACTTCAGCTTACTAATACGTTGGGCTATGTCGGTCACTCTGGTTCTACTGCGGATATCCTCATTTCTGAGTTTATCACGCAGAGAAACTCCGAGCATAGTCCTCTCCATAGCTCGCTGAGCGACCTTGAGCTTCCTCATCCGGCCAGAAGTGAAGGATCACGTCTCAGTTCCGTATGTCATCACTGGCAACACGCACTGGGAGTACAGTCTCCTTTTCAAGTTTTGAGATATACCTGACGAGAAGATGTGCCGTATTTTCCCGAACGCTGCCCAACCGAGTTGAATCCGTCGGTTGACCTCTCGGTCGAAGTTGGACTTACCTAGTCGGACTATTTGTCCCAGGTAAACATACTCGTCAACAACTTCGAGCTTAGTATTCCCAACAACTACCGGCATAGGTGTGACATGGACATTAAACATGATCTTTGTTTTGTCATGTGTTCATCTTAAGACCTATCCGTTGGGAAACACTATTGAGGTCATTGAGCATAGTGCTTAGGTCCTCCAGCGATTCTGCCATAAGGACTATATCGTCGGCAAATCGAAGGTGAGTGATGTACTCGCCATTGATGTTGATACCGTATGCTTTCCAGTCCAGAAGCTTGAAAACATCTTCCAATGCAGCGGTAAAGTTTCGGGGATATGACGTCACCCTGTCTTACACCTCTTTGCAATTGGATAGGTTTCGTACTCTGGTTCTGTACTCGGATAGCCATCGTAGCTCTACTGTACAAGCACTTCAACACTTCGATATACCGACAGTCAACTTGGCATCGCTGAAGGGACTGCAGCACCGCCCAAATTTCGACGGAATCAAAGGCTTTCTCATAGTCCACATACGCCAGACATAGTAGACTTCTGTACAATTTGCCGAAGGGTATGTATGTGGTCTATGGTGCTAAAGCCTTTTCGGAAACCGGCTTGTTCGAGAGGCTGGAAGTCGTCAAGTCTGCGCGCGAGACGATTCGTAATGACTCTCGAAAACAGCACGTAGACGCGGCTCAGAAGGGAAATCGGTCTGTAGTTCTTCAAGAGAGCGTTGTCGCCTTTCTTGAAGAACAAGACCACCGCACTTCTGCTCCACGCCTCCGGTGTAATGCCACCATGGAGGACGGAATTAAAGAGCTTCTGAAGGACTTCAAGTACCGGTTTTCCACCCGCTTTCAGAAGCTCCGCTGTAATTCCATCCTCGCCTAGGGCCTTGCCGTTTTTAAGGTGCTGGAGAGCCATTCTAATCTCGCTCAGACTGACATCTGGGATATCATCGGAATAATGTCGGATAAGACTCGCTCTTGGATCGTTACTCACACTTGCGTGCGGCTCCAACGATGACGTGTACACAGCTGCCCATAGAACCTCTCAATCTCACTCAAAATCTCAAGTGCCCCGGAAACGATGCTGCCACATTCGGTCTTCAGCTTTGACAGTTGGCTCTTTCTGGCAGACAGATCTCTGGCAAAGACTTTGGAGCCTTGGTTCCGCTCGATCGCTTCTTCAATACGAGCTGTATTGAAGTTGCGTAAGTCCCGCCGCATGCATTTGGAGATCTGTCTGTTCAGTTGCCTGTATGCTGTCAAATCTGTTGAAGAATGTAGCTTCATCTCCCGTCTAACAGCCATGAGATTAAGAGTGCTCTAACCAGGGGGACGGAGCGTTGACTTCATTAGACGAGACCTCTCTAACTTAACGTTTAGGTTCAGTGTGCCTCTAACCATTCGGTGATCGCTGCCGGTTTTCACCCTCGCGATCACTGAGACATCACTGAACAGTCTGAACACTGAAATTTCCCCACTTTCAGCTCACCGTTGTCTCTTGTGCCTTGTTTTGTATTGAAGTCTCCCATTAACACCTATGTGTTAATGGGAGACTTCAATGTATACTACTACTATAGTGTATATTGGGTTTTGGAGGAATACATGGCTCTAGAGATATCCTCATACATTTCCTCCACCTCCTGATCGGGGTGTGCCGAGGTTGGTGCGTAAACCTGTATGACCTTCAGCGAATACCGTTTGGTGATTCTGAGTATAAGGTACGCAACCCTCGTCGACACACTCTCAATCTTTACAACGTTGTTAACGAGAGACTTGTGGACGATAAATTCGACACCTCCTTGGGACAGATGGTCGCCCTCCCGGTAATAGAGCAAGTTGCCGGATTCGAGGATTACCGTGTCCTCCCCCTCTCTTCGGACTTCGGATAATCCTATAATATGCCAGCGTAACTTGTCTATCTCTTCTTCCAGCTCCACAAACTTCTCGTCAGTCCTCAGGGTGCGTGCGTTGTATGTTGCCAGGTCGAGTCGTCGTAGGTGGCAACCGAACCTCCACCGGAGATTCTTAGCACCCCCTGCCCCGCCGTTACCATGGTCGCCACCGTAGCCAGGAATAGCGGGGCCGCCGGGGACTGGGGGACGTCTCTTCGTAACTTTCATCATGGGGGGTATATTGCCATAGTTGCCACACTTGGCGAGCGGGTTGGCAACCGCAGTTTTTTATTGTATTTTTGCCGTTACCAGGAAGATGCTGCTGCCCATCTCCTGCCTGTTTACCTTTGTCGCCTTTTACGACACCCACGGGAAGAAATGGGGTAGTGGATATTCTTAACCGCCACTACACGGCCTATCTCTATATACAGGGTTATTGTGCAATAACCGGCCAAATTTGCAGAGAAGGTTTCAGAATAACTAATACGTATAGGCAAATGGTGAAGAAAAATTAGTTTAAAAAAATCTCAATAATTCTGTCCTTTTTATCTTTTAAATTCAAAATGTGTGGTAATGCATTATTTTAAATTATTTCACTGCACACGCCACACATTTCTTATGGTCGATCGGTACGCAAAAGCATTGTTGCCCATAAATTACATTCAATTTGGGATAATTTCAAATAAAAGTAAAAGCCTTATATACTCGGTATTTTCATAAACTGCAATAACGGTATATCATTATTTATATATTTAAACTATGGCTACTCTTTGAAAAATCAACCTGTATAAAAATCAATTGCTGTCCCTTAGTCTCGCTAAAACTCGAAACTGACTTGACCGATTCTGATGGAATTTTTTGGGTGTGTTTGTGTGGGTCTCTGGAAAGATTAGATTCACAATTGAACCCGGTAGGTGGAGTTGTTGTCGAGATCCTTTTACATAAAAATGATAAGCGCATGACGAAATCAAAACACTTACCAAATGTTGCCCAAACGAAGCCCACCATTGAAATAACTAATCTCAGGAAGAAGAGAAATGAATTCTGTGTGGTGAACAAAATGATGCGGCAGATGACAAGCGCCAACGCGATGGGAAACAGACAGTAGCCCAGGACGCACACGGATTGGAAAAATGATCTGAAATTAACATATACCAGATTTAAATATCAACATACTAGATACGTGATACGTGGTAGAGCCATGCTGCAGCTATATTAGTACTATAGTTGTAGCACGAATAGGTCAGTTCGAACGGGGGAAGGACCACGCTCTCACAGAATACCAGCGTTAAATAGCAGCTTAACACTGCTGTGTTTCGTAAGGTGAGTGTAGAGAACCGGAGACTCTTTTTACTGGAAAAGAGGCATTCCATCTTAGTCCTCACAGGTAACAATGCATCTGCATTTTGATTCACAAACTTTTTGTCTATGGGCCACAGAAACCACTTACCATCAGGTGGACTATGTGCTCGTTTGTCACCCTATCCTATAAAAAATACTAATTAGTACAAATATTAATACAAAATACAAATAATATAGGCATTTTCTAAAAAATATACATTTCTAAGGCATTACCTTACCCACAAAAAGCTACGTACAGCAGTAAAATCGTAAATATTCTAATGTGCAGTGGACTTGGACAAATTAACACTAGGAAGACAGAGAATTCTGATTACTACTCACATGTTACCACCTAAGAGCTTGGAATTAGCGGTCACAATAGCGGCTCCGATCCATACGAGTACAAAGACCTCAGCAAACTCCGGGCCCCCGTCGTTGGAGTTGTCAGCGCGTTCTGTCGAACCTTGCAGGATGGTGGCCATGAGGGTACACAATAACAATGGACCCCATAAGTCCCCTAAAATTGAGAAAACACTTATTATTTTATTTATTTATTTATTATTAGATAAAAATTGTTACATAAGGAAATAACATTTTAATTTATACTTTATGTTAACTTCATTAATTTCACTTTTAAATTTATTATCCAGACCATTTATTAAGCGAGGTATTATGTATGCACTGGTGCGCTCACCATATTTATTTTTGGATAGTATTGTTATACTTCAAATAAATAATCATGCTAAGTAGGTATATCAAAATATTAGAGTATTGCTTTAATGGTTTAAAAAAAAGTGAGATATTCATTAACGTTTTTTTTTCTTGAACTGCGTTGTCACCCCCGAGGACTGAGCTAGAATGCCTATTTTCCAGTAAAAAGGGTATTCAGTTCTCTACACTCACCATAAAAACACAGTAGCATTAAGCTGCTATTTTTGAGAGCGTGGTCCTACCCCGGTCGAGCCGACCCATTCGTGCTACAACCACAATATAGCTGCAACGTGGCTCTACCAACACCGAAACAATTATATGTAGGCCATACAATTACTTGTACTGTTAGGGATTTAAGCCCGTGGCCCCCCAATGCATTGTGTGTTTAAAGCCGATGCCGGATATAGCAAAATTTGAACACTTATAGGATTATGAACACTTATTGGCGCTACCTGCCAGACATGCTATGCAAATACATCTATCCACAGTACGATGATAAACGACAAACAAAATGGACGACGATTTTGTGGATGCAGTGTGCCTCTATTATTGTGCATATCATTATTTATTTTAAAAAAAATCTATCAAAACAGCCGAAAAGCAGACGCGAATGGAGGTGTTGTCAATATACTTACATTACGTAGTTACATTACAAAGAGAGTATTAATTAATATTATTTTTTACGATTGAACTTTGCGCACGTGTGGCAGGCTACACAAATATCGACTTTGAACGCTTTGATGTACCCTAAAAAACCGAAACCGCTTGGCAAAGTGCATTTCTTTGTGCACTTATTTGAACATTGATTCAAAGTCCCGTGCCAAAAATAGCTTCAAACAAGTGTTCAAATGTTCAAAGCTATATCTGGCGCCGGCTTAAAACAGTGTCCCTCAATTTAATGGTATGATAACCCCAGGGGTACATATTGTTGGCTGAAGGGGTACACTCTTGACTAAGGTAATAATTTAGCAAAAATAACTATCGCTGAATTAACGCATACAAGATGGTCATTTGCTCCATTAAACTTTAAAAACCGATGTAATATACATTAAGTATTCTCCTATGGTTGGGACATATTTGCAATCATATTATTGAAACTGTCGAAAATATTATGATTTTATTTATCATTTCGGATATAAGGTGTATGTAAGCTAGAGCTCTGTCTTGGATACTAAATAAAAGGAGTAATAAAAAAAATTGTTATACAACCAAGTTTTTATTAAATTGTTTTCTTTAATTTGATTTAACATAAATTGATTTCTTCTTTCAGTTGAGGTTCTATGAAATTGCCAATTAATGTATAAAAATTTTACTATTACATATTTTACAAATTTAATATATTAATCTGATTAATGCTGATCTGTACTGATCTGAACAAAACATTTATATTATTGTTAATCAAACACTGTATAAAAGACAACTGACGAACATGATCCCCAGCAAGCAGTTTTTAAAATTAATAAGTAAACTATTAATATGAAAAGTCTTGCTGGGCCTTGGTGTTTTTTCCAAAGACGGAGGCATTTTTTTAAAAACTGAAGTAACAAATTAACTCACAAACTAACTGATGGTAAGTGGCTATGGCGAACCCATGGACGTCTGTAACCAACTTCAACCACAAAAGGCTACAGATGTGTTGTCACCCTTGAGTACTAAGATGGAATGTCTCAGCTTGTAATTACACTGGATCTCTATAACCTTCAGACCGGGACCCAAAAGCATACTGCTATTTGGTGGTAGAAATAGGTAAGACGGTGATACCTACCCAGCAAACTCCTAGGCAGGAAAGGAGTCCTACGAACTAGTAATTTTTCATCATCATCGTCATTACGGCCCATCACAAGTCCACTTCGGAACATAGGTCTCTGCCAAGGAACGCCACAAAGCATAGTTTCTTTTTTAATAAGATATGAATGACAAGCAAGCACCCAGTCCACCTGATGGTAAGTGGTTACTGTAGCCCGGAGACATCTCCATCTATCCTCGTTTGTGAATTAAAATGTAGATCTGTTGTTAGCCATGGGGACTAAGATGGAATGCCACTATTCCAGTAAAAAGGGTCTCCGGTACTCTACACTCACCATATGAAACACAACAGCATTAATCTGCTATTTTACACTGGTATTCTATGAGAGTGTCGTCCTTCCCCGATCAAGCTGACCCATTCGTGCTACAATTATACAATTAATATAGCTGCAGCATGGCTCTACTACGTACAATCCGGGGCCACCTACCTCTTAACAGTGGTAGAGCCACACGGCAGCTTTTGCTGTCGCACGGATGGGCCGGCTCGAACCGGGGTGGTACCACGACCTCACAAAACCAGCGTGAAGTAGAGGTTTACCTCTACGTTTCGCTTGGTGAGTGCAGGTGGGCGGAGGGCCTTTTTACTGGAAATGAGGCATTCCATCTTAGACGGGTGACAATGCATCTACATTTTGATTTGTAACAGAGGATAGATGTAGATGTCAATGGGCCGCAGCAACCACTTACCATCAGTTGGACTGTGTGCTCGTTTGTCACCCTTATCCTATAAAAAAAAAATCCTACAATCCATCCACTTCCAGCATCTCTTACCAAGTTGTCACTACATCTAGTGGGGGGTCGTCCTACACTTCACTTACTGGCAGAAGGTTGCTATTCGTGAACCTTTTTTTCCCATCAACAATCCAATCTTGATGAAATATAAAAATTACTCACACTCCTTTAATAGGCTAGTTTTTTCCCTTGGTATAAGAACATGATAAAATTTGTTTCCAACAGCTCTCAGGTCTCGCATCTGTTAATTAAAATTAATAATATTAAAAATATGGAATGGGAATTGAAGATCAATGTTGAAATTAAAAATCATAATTATATAAATCTTCATCTTATTCTGTGGAATAAAATAATGTTTGGGAACATGTGTACAGGGTTGATACTAGTATGTTTGGCTTTATACAGTTTTCCAACGAAAACATTATGATTCCAGCCTTCTTGGATCTTGGTTTTATTAGGTTTATCTATACACCTATTCTATCTATGCAAATAAATAAAATTGAAGTGTCCGTTTGTAATGTCGAAATAACAGCTTTTTACTATATGCATATGAAAATATATACAGTACTTATAACAAAACCTTCTGTCTTTCTGTCTGTTTGTTCCAACTAATCTCGGAAACGGCTGGACCAATTTTGACCGGACTTTCACTGGCAGATAGCTGATGTTATAAGAAGTAACTTAGGCTACTTTTATTTTAGAAAAATAATTAGAGTTCCGTGATAATAGTTAGAGCAAAAAATTAAAACCCATGAAATTCAATCGTAAAAAATTACGTGCGGGCGTTGTCGCGGGGAACAGCTAGTCTATACATATAAAGAAAATTAGTGTCTGTCTGTAATATTAAAATAATTGGCCGTCTGTTTGGGCTAATCTCCAGAATAGCTGAACCGATTGTGATGAAACTTTATTAACAGATAGAGAGCAATACCAGGGGAAAATCTAGGAAATAGTTTATCTTAAAAATTTATATATTTTTTTTGAAAAATCTATATTCTACATTCTATACAAATAAATAAAATTGAAGTGTCTGTTAGCAATATCAAAATAACAGCTTTTTCTAAATGCATATAAAAGTATATATGGTACTTATAAAACAAAAACACAATTTTTAAAACTATTGTCTGTCTGTTTGTTACTCTCTGCCTCCGAAACAACTGGACGAATTTTGACAGGACTTTCACTGGTAGATAGCTAATGTTATAAAGAGTAACTAACGAGAAGTAAATGTCGAAGATTATCTAACAAAATTCTGAAGAGAATATAATGTTTGATTTGTGAGCTCTGTTTTGTTTCATTGCGAATGAGTTGTATCTCTATAGATATTTATGGAGTAATTTGCTGAAAAACTTGACCAGTAGTACTCCTGGCCAAAAATTTTCTTTGGTTAGAATCAAAACGGCATCACCAAAGAAATCATCTTTCAGAGATGATTGTCTTTGTACTTACTATATGTAGTGAAAGTGCAGTGTTTCTTTCCTGATTACCTCTGTGCGGTTGTCGCTGCTTCAACAAGAGCACTATTTCACCTCACTAATATAATGTAAACTGACTGGCACTCAAACAACCCAGATTGGTGAAATTCACTTCTACATGTCCACACCCAGCCACATACTTAATCACAGACATTGGCAAAATTACCAGAGCTAAAGCTAGAAACCCCTTCTCATCTACAATGTTCTGTGGACCTTGTCCCAACAGACTTACTTTTTGCGAAATTTAAATAACTTTTTGATATGCAAAAATTTCAATTACAAAGCAGTAAAAAATGCCTTTCAAGAGTTTGTTGATTCCTATGCAGCAGACATATAAAGCAAGAGCATCAACAAACTACCCAAAAAATGTGAAGAATGTGTTAACAGTTCAATCAAATATTTTGATTACTAGAAAATATGTTTTAGTAAATAAATTTTATTTGATTTTCCCATACAAAATGGCAACTTCTTAAAAAATAACGTAATATTTAAAAAAAAGGAGGAGGTAATATGTGTAAATTTGGTGTATTTTTTTGTATGTATTACCTCAGAAATTTCATATTTTTTATTTCAAAGCTAGTGCTTCTCATGTGGTCCCATATAAATTTGTATTGTATTTAATTGACTTCTACTACATTGATGATGTTCTCATTTTATTTATATTGAAGTTGGTTGTACAAAATGTTTGATTTTACCACTTGTAACTGAATATTCTTATTTGAAGATAGATGTATATGCCGATGCAGAGGTGGATTAAATGTTGACAGCGCCCTAGGCTAGCAACTAATTAAAATGTTTATTGTAAATATTTTGACTTTAAAACATATAAGTATTTTTGTGTAATTGGTTCAACAATTAAAAATTAAACTTACAAATGTTTCTTTAATTGGTTCATCGAGAGTATTGAATTCCATATTCTCTCCAGAAGGGACTCCTCTAGATGGAATATTCATTTCTCCTTCCACTACCCCAACATCACCAGCAGGAAACATCTGCATTGTAACACCGAAATCAAATTACTAATGATTTAATAATAGAAATGAACATTAAATTAATAATAAATATATCATAAACAAGAATAATTATAAACAAACAGAAACATCTGGAGTTAAAGTGCAGTTAGATATATTGTATAAAAATTTACTATGCATATTCCATCTTATCAAATAAATTTATCGTGCTCACTAACAGAATGTAATACGCGATGAACTAATTATTACAACAGTAGTGTTATTTGATTCACTTTTAATGAATTGATACCAATAATATGTTTTCTTGCAACTGAACTAACTACATGATCTTTTTCTTTCTTCTTTTCTTTTTAAAAAAACGTTACCCCCACACTAGGATTTTCTCCTGTATCGTGGAGGCAGTTTACAAACACAAATTGCACAAGGACAAACATCCAGACCCGGAACAATTATTTGTAGGCCATACAAATACTTGTTCCGTGCAGGATTCGAACCCGCGGCCCCCAGCGCAGCAACTCATTGCTAAGCCACTGCTCCACGGAGCCGTAATGATATATTTAAGCTCTATATGCAATCTATGTTTTTTATTTCTTAGACAGAATAAAGTGTAAGAAACAAAAATGTGGTGAAATGTTCAAATATATATAAAAGCGATTACATTATATATTGAAAGATTTATTACTTACATCATATTTAGAATCAAAAGTAGTCATTTTGCTTTATTTAATAAACGTAAAAACGAAATAAAATCTCCAACACATCAACCGTATATACCTTTTTTGCTTTTGATACGTTTGCTTTGACATTTGACAGTTGACAGACAGATGACACACCTTGACACTTGATACTTGACAAATAAATAAAATCTTAGACCTGAGCTTAGACCATACAGCCTAATCTGATTCACAAAATTCTTCACAATATGTTGATGTATCACATTGCGAAAATCACCAGCGAAGCATTAATGATGATAATTTCTCTAATCTCCTAAGCGGATATAAAAATAACTAACACAAAGGGGGAACAACTATTATTTTACATCAATGTTTACAATTTGTGTAATTTATTTCTTGCTTGTTGTGTAAAATTTCAATCTTTGATCTCTTCTCTCAACTAAGAGTAAATTATTAATCAGTTACTAAGTTAAGTTATTACTCTGATTCTCTCAACTATGCCACAAATGGGAGTAAGTCATAAGTACACTCGTATATTCTGATTTACACAAATCATTCTTATGTAGATGTATCATCTGTGACGATAAAACAACTACCTAATATTAATAATTACATGCATAACGACTACGCTCTCAAGTTTACAAGACTAAAATAAAAGCACATTGCTCCTTTGTTTCGTGTGCTGAGAGTAGAGAAGTGGAGACCCATTTTATTATATACGTGACATGAATAATTCCATCTTTGTCCTCGGGAGTGACAACGCATCTTAATTCTGAATCAAAGATAGATGTAGACATCTATGGGCCACAACAGCCACTTACCATCAGGTGGACTGTGTACTCGTTTATCACTCTTATTTTATATATGTAAAAAATTACATACATCGTCTACAACGATGTTGTTTAAAATGATAACCACATGACATCTACATGCTTATTTTAGTTTTAACACATAAAATTTGGCATTAACAATAGGTTCCAACCAACTGCCTATGTTAGTCTTGTTAAACTTGTCGTTTTTTCTATCAATAGTCTAGTGATGAGTATGACTTCCTCAATGGATTACATACGGGGGATATTACCATTGATACCACGCTTAGCAGGCGGGTTCGCAACAAAGCTTTTTACTTTTGCCCATCTTCCGTTTTAGTTTCTCTGCCGATGCCAATTCCAATTCACGACACCCACGGAATGATATGAGGTATAGTGGATTCTTTTACGTCACCACTACTCGGCAAGTGAAGATAATAATTAGATAAGAATAATAATTAAAATAAATGAAGTCTGTTAATTTTGTCAAAAATACAAAAGCATCTATCAAGTAATATCGTTAGTAATAGTGGTTGCTAACGTAACCAAGTAAATAAGTAAACCAAGTCTTCTAGCTTTACTCGCACCAGGAACAAATCGAATCTTTAAAAGAAATCTTAACTCGTGTAAGAGGCCGTGTAAGAGAATCCACTACCCCACATTATCCCGTAGGGGTCGTAAGAGGCGAAAGAAGATAATAGAAACAGGAGATGGGCAGCAGTCCATTCTGATAATAACTTAAAATTATATAAAACTGCAGTTGCTAACCCCCCTGAGAAATTATAAATACATCGTATTGGGTATATTTTAACATCACATAAATTCCAAAGAGTATGTCAGTATTTTCTTTAGACATCTATACAGCATCTAACGTAACTAACGCACATCCTCAGACACTTCAATTAGTATATTATGTTATAATCATAAAACATACACTGACTTCTTAGTTAAACATGTTTATGCATTGATTACTTATTAAATTACTTATACTAATTCCGGAAGAATGTTGTTGTCACAGTACAAATCCACGAACGCTAGGTCATTTGAGGGTCTTGCTAGCCTAGTGGGTATTCGCTCGCGTTCGAGACGAGTTAACACCGCGCCGCTTGACACAACTGTAGGTAGGTATTAGTGCCGAAAAAAGCCGACAATACACGATTGATTACGTAAAGAAATACCAACCTATTATCATTAATAGATCAGCACTCCAAACATCGAGTTGTTTATTTAAATCTAGTAAACATTTGATTGCATCTTTCCATCACACTTTTCAGGCTTTAGACTTTCGTCTCTGGATTATTTTGTTTATTGATTATGATACAATGTCAATACGCAAAATTCGTTACGTAATGTTATGAATTTGCATAAAATTATAATTTTAAATAATAATGAACTGCTAAAGATAAGATGCGATACGACAACAAAGACGGCGTTTTTAAAACATGTGAATCAAAATTACAATAATTTTAAGAATCAAATATTTAACTTACTGATAACCCAAACTCTCATGCAACGTTGTATTTTAATACACTTTACATATTGTTCAATAATTTTTAATGACCGTTTTCTTAAATGATATTTTAATTAAGAAAGCAATTCATTGTCATTTTTCACTATTCTAGAAGCGTTCACTATCCTATTTTTAGCTCCTCGGCAGTTGCTGTCTCACTAAATAAACTAATGATTTAGTACGTCCCCAGTCCCCACAAAAAATGCCAAGAGGTGTCAAATCAGCTGATCTGGGAGGTCAATGAACAGAGCCGCCACGACCGATCCAAGGCACTCCAAACTCTGTATTTGTAAAGACTTTACCTCCCTTGAAATAAGGTTCAATTTTCTTTATTTTGTATTGAATGACGGAGTTTGTATTAATACAAATAAAACTGCACTTTTAGAAGTCTTATTGCCTTGAGTTATGGTCCATTTCATTTTATTTTGACTGTACAGGTTTAGTGTGACTGTAATTTACGTAGTTTTAATTATTTTTGGGATAAAAAATTACCTATCTTAAAAATGATAGAAATCGTTCTGTAAACGATTCTGAAATAACTGCTTTCACGATGTGCGTTAATTATGTTACGTGTTGTATATCCAAGAAAACTTTATTTAATAATATACTACTTTTTTATATATCTAAACATTGATTTTAAATGAGATATCAGATGTTTATACAGAGAAAGAAACGCAAGTGTGTAAACTGTATATTATGAAAGTTTAATTTTTAATGTAAAAAATAAAGTAAAGTAAAAACTTTTTAAGGGCAGCTATTAATTAAGAGTTAAGAATCAGTAAAATGCCAAGAAGATTGCAATGCAGTGGACGATATAAATGACAAGCTCCTGGAAACTTTCCATGCGGTCAGAGCTAAGTTTTGCAAGACCACGAAAAGATCACAAAAACTCTCCGATCACTGCTGCAGTCAGTCTTCAGTAGATTTGATAGCATACAGGCAAATGAATAGACAGATCTCCAAATGCATGCGGCGGGACTTATGCAACTTTAATACTCCTCGTATTGAAGAAGCGATCGAGAGGAACTAGGGCTCCAAAGTCTTTGCCAGAGATCTGTCTGCCAGAAAGAGCCAACTGTCGAAGCTGAAGACCTGAAGATGTGGCAGCATCGTTTCCGAGACACCTGAGTGAGATTGAGAAGTTCTATGGGCAGCTATATACGTCATTGTTGGAGCCACACGCAAGTGTGAGTAACGATCCAAGAGTAAGTCTTATCCGACATTATTCCGATGATTTACCAGACTGAGCGAGATTAGAATGGCTCTCCAGCACCTTAAAAACGGCAAATCCCCGGGCGAGGATGGAATTAAACTGGTACTTGAAGTCCTATAGAAGCTTTTTAATTCCGCAATTTAGGCAGAAGTACGGTAGTCTTGTTCTTCAAAAAAGACGACAACGCTCTCTTGAAGAACTACAGACCGAGATACCTTCTGAGCCGCGTCTAAGTGCTGTTTTCGAAAGTCATTACGCATCGTCTCGCACGCAGACTTGATGACTTCCAGCCTCCCGAACAAGCTGGTTTCCGAAAAGGCTTTAGCACCATAGACCACATACATACATACCCTTCGGTATAGAAGACCGAAAAGTACAATCTGCAACTTTTTCTTGCGTATGTGGACTATGAGAAAGCCTTCGATTCCGTCGAAATTTGAGCGTTGCTGCAGTCGCTCCAGCGGTGCCAAGTGGACTGTCAGTATATCGGTGCTGACGTGTTTGTACAGTAGGGCTACGATGGCTATCCGGTACAGAGTCAGAGTACGAAACCTAACCAACTGCAGAGAGGTGTAAGACAGTGTGACGTAATATCCCCGAAACTCTTCGCCGCCACATTGGCAGACGTTTACAAATTACTGGACTGGAAAGGATACGGTATTAACGTCAAAGGCGAGTAAATCACTCATCTTCGATTTTCCGACGATATAGTTCTTATAGCAGAATCGCTGGAGCACTTAAGCACTATTCTCAATGAGCTCAATAATGTCTCGCAACGAACAGGTCTTAAGATGAACATGGAAGAAACAAAAATCACGTTTAACGTCCATGTTACACTTATGCCGGTATTTATTGGGAGCACTAAGCTCGAAGTTGTTGACGAGTATGTTTACCTGGGACAAATAGTCCGACTAGGTAAGTCCAACATCGACTGAGAGGTCAATCGACGGACACTCAACTCGATCATTCAACTCGGTTGGGAAGCGTTCGGGTGCTTACGACACATCTTCTCGTCATGCATACCTCAAAACTAGATTGTACAACCAGTGCGTGTTGCCAGTGATGACCTATGAATCTGAGACGTGGTAATTCTTTGCTGGCCGTATGAGGCAGCTCAAAGTCACTTCAGTGAGCTATGGAGAGGGCTATGCTCGGCGTTTCTCTGCGTGATAGACTTAAAAACGAGGATATCCGCAGTAGAACCAGAGTAACCGACATAGCCCAAAGAATTTGTATGCTGAAGTGGCGATGGGCCGGCCATATAGCTCGAAGAACCGACATCCGATGGGGAAGAAAGGTTCTCGAGTGGCAGCCTCGTACCGGCAGGCAAAGTAGAGCGTGTCACACCACTAGATGGAGACTGATGACGACCTGATAAGACATGCAGAAAGTCCTGTATCATGTAACAGTATCCTGTTGAGGAATATTGTTCCAGGTCCTACTGAGATGCGTAAAAAATTGTTCTTCTGTAACCAAATTTTCGGGAAAATCTGTCAGAGCTCTTCTTTGGAGCATATCCCAAAGCATGCTCGATGGGATTTAAATTTGGGGATAGTGCTGGCCATTCTAGGGCCGTGACATTATGTTCGTACAAACAGTCTGTTACCATCCTGGCCCTACATTAAAGGGTATTATCGTGCATAAGCAGGAAATTTTGACCTATTTGTGTTCTGTGTGGCAAGACTGTTGGTTCTAGCTCCTTATTCGACGGCTCCGTGGCGCAGTGGCTTAGCAATCAGTTGGTTCGAATCCCGCACGGAACAAGTATTTGTATGGCCTACTGTTTGTCCTTGTGCAATTTATGTTTGTAAACTGCCTCCACGACACAGGAGAAATCCTAGTGTGGGGGCAACGTTTAAAAATAAAAAAGAAAGAAAGAAAAATATTATTATTTTATAGTCTCCTGTATCCAAACGAGGTCTGTTCTACCACCAAAGCGAATTCCTGCCCACACCATTATTATACCACCTTGGCATGGATGAACTTTTTGATGGTGTTGACGCCGACTTGTACGACCAGGAACAAAACACGTACTCTCCGCGAATCAGGATGAAAACCAAATCGGAATTCATTGATGCTTTTCACCAATGAATCCCGATTTAGTTTTCATCCCAGTTCACATATTCTCTAGTCCATTGCAGTCTTCGTCCACGATTTCCTTTTCTTAGACCTGGAACCCGGAGTGTTCTACGAGCATGAAGGTTAGCTTCGTGCAGCCTCTTCCTCACAGTTTGGTCACTCACAAGCACCTGGTATTCAGACTATATCCTTTGGACCAATTGCATCGCCGTAACATTTGGTTGCTTTCACGCTGCAATTTGCAAAAAGGGGTCTTGTCTGGTCTGGCTGGTAATGCGATATGGTCGAGGTTGTATCTCCAACACCTCCCCCGTGGCACGATAGCGTGACCACAAGCTCGAACTCTCATTTTACCTGGTGCCTATTGCCGCAGCGACGTCACGTTGAAAAGCAAAAAATTCGCTCCCTCTAGTTCAACTCAATTTTTGCCGCCAACACATTTTATTTATTTTTTTTTCTTTTTGGAATCAATCTGGAATAAATGATGCACAATTTGATATTATAAATATTTTAAAGTGGCCATCATGTATATTTGGAGGGGAGAGGGGAGTCATTAAAAAGAATACCAGCAGTTGGGAAGCCTACTTTTATATATCGAGAAATACATTATTTTCGAGGCCAGTAAAATATAGCAGTTAACGTAAAAAAAATATAGTATGGTTTTGATTAACATTTAATTTTTATTTATATATATTGAAACCGGAGTATTTTGGAAACTTCAACACCATAATTTAGGGTTCCGTAACTTTTGTTTGGGGCGCGACGATATCGCTGCCACATCACAACACTGATCAAACTGATGGTTATGGTGCATTCCAGTTGTCAACGAATGTGCAAATGCCAGGACTTGCCTTGCAGTTTGCGGTGAGTAAAGAAGAAGGCAATTTAATTTGAGAAAGTGCCATTAAGCAGAGACAAGCAATGAGACTCAGAGCCGTGCTGAAGAACATAAGCGCAAAGAATAAATTGAAGGAACAGGAAGCGTAATTCCAATGCTATGATGATCCTTGTAAGCCAGGCTGGTTTGTAGGAGCTTAAAATACTTTCGCTGTCCCGTGTACCATATGTAGGTCATTTCTATTGTTTTACGATTGTGTCTAAAAATCGGACTGTGAAAGTGTTAAAATACTACAGGCGATCTTTTACTTTGGAGCGAAATTAAGGGGAATTCCAGTTATTGAGGAAATATTGATGTTGGGAAGTTCTTAAAGCTTAAGATTCCAAAATTCCGAAGGTTGCAGGTTGTGTTTAAGTCGCATTGGGTTTACCACTTTGACTTTGGTGAAAGAAAAAGGGAGATTACCCACCGACTAAGGCATTTAGCTTGGAGAGCGACCAACGCTTCCTATAGTTCTATGCAGCTTATTTTAAAGAGTTTGTCGACGAAGTTATTTTATATATACCGGAGTTTTTCAGAAACTTCGATAGCGCGACTTAAGCTTCTGTTTGCTATAACTTGTTGTGCTATGACAGCACAGCCACATCGCCCTCTTGTTCAGACGGTAAATTTAGTAGCAAGTAGTAGTGTATTACTAGTTGTTACATAAAAGTCTGCACAATTAAGCACTAAATAATTCACAGTTGATTTTGATTCTGTTTTTCTAAAAAGGTTTTACAATAATAATACATTAAAAATATTGCGGTCATTTTTGAATTTACGTTCGGAAAAAAGTGCTGTTTTAAAAAAATATTATTAATTTCTTTTACTTATTATTATTAATTTTTAATTTCTTTTACTTATTAACTTCAGATTTTTTTCTAAAACTTTACTAAATAATACAAATCTGCAATCATATTTTTGTGGAACGCAAGTGTCATAGTCATCCCATAATCCGTCAACCGTCGTGTCCGTCATGAGAACTAGGTCGACAGAATAGGCAATGTCCAATTTTTTGGACTATTCGAGTAGCAGTATTTAGTTGGCATAGAATTACAAATCTAACAACGTTTGACCAAAATTAGTCTGATTATGAGTTTTACTGAAGAAAGATAGTTTGCAGAAGCTTGGATAACAAGTCAGACGGACATAAAGTAAGATTAATTGTCTTTGTATTATTTGCCATATTTTGCTTATTTTAACCACTTCTAATGAGAGATGATGGTTAAAAACCTCAGATTCTAACAGTTTACGTCGTACATTCAATTACGGGAGAATATAAAAAATTATATGAGCTAAGAATAATACGTAATAATGCAAAGGAATTCAATTTCCAAATATCCCATGTTCAGGTGAATGTCAATCATAATAAATTTACTAATATATTAAAATTCACAAATTCAAGTGTGTAAGTTTAGTGTCATAAATAAAACTTTAATTAAGTTAGGCAACTAGTATTATGCAAGAATTTTGCAACTTTATACACTTAAAGTCAGTTAAATTTGACTAATCGTATTTGCCTAGGGTCATGTAGTATGTATTAACAGTTTTTGAATGTTTCAACAGTATAATAATAATAATTCATTTGTATAGAAAACTGTAATATCTTTTTCTAGGTATAAGTGTATAGGTTGATGATTTAAATTAGGATTTTGATCAGTATAAGAAAAATTATTTTCATGGCAGTTCTAAAAAATAGTTTTGTTTCTTTCAGCTTGCAGTTGTATATCAAATATAATCTGCACATTAAATTACAATTTTCATTTATAAAAGAATTTTATCAAATTTATTAATGATAGTCTCTGTTCTCAGATTGACATATGGCAAAGGAAAGCAGTTAAGATGGCTGATAAACATAGTTTGAACTATGACGTGCGGGAGCTTAAGCTGGGTGCAAGCTTTACAAACAATAAAGCTTCTCAGTATCATACAATCAAATGTAAGTACTTTCCTTTTCAGTGGAATTAATCCATAAACCTATAAAATGACTGTCTAATTTACAATAGTCAGTCAACCACGTTTATGTATAGTTTGTTATACTTTCATTACTTTATGAGAAAAAATATTCACTAATGGAAATCACACACTCCATTCTTAATTATTTTATCTTAGAATTCTGTCTAAGGCTCAAAGATTCAAATATAGTAGATAAAGTTGTGGGTTGAAGGTTTTCAGTTTAGTTATAGATTATTAAAAAAATATATAGCAAAATGTCTTCCAAATTATTAGAGCTGTTTCTGTGAAACCAATTACAGCAGAATCTGGATTGTGACCATTAAGTAATAGATTACATTATGTTATGTAGATATTAATTCTATCTTCTATCTAATTATGTAGATATTAATTCTAAGGGAATGACACTAAACAACTAGATTTTTTTTTGTGTTACTGCATTATTTAATCAAAATCAAATTATGTATAAATTTATAATATATGTTAAACAAAAATAAAAACTTCAATGAAATAACTTAATTTTAATGAAATGTATGAAAAGATTTAGTCCATAAAATAAAACAATTTCTACTATATTTACTGTGTATTTTTTTATGTGGTAGAGCCATACTGCAGCTGTATTAGTAGTATTGTTGTAGCATGAATAGGTCAGCTCAATTGGGGAAGGACCACACTCTCACAGAATACCAGCATAAAATGGCAGCTTAATGCTGCTGTGTTTCGCATGGTAAGTGTAAATAACCGGAGACCGTTTTTATTGGAAATGAGGCATTCCATCTTAGTCCTCATGGGTGACAACGCATCTGCATTTTGATTTGTAATTGAGGATAGATGTAGATGTCTATGGGCCGCAGCACCCACTTACCATCAGGTGGACTGTGTGCTCGTTTGTCACCCTTATGCTATAAAAAAAGTTAGAAAAGTTTCCTTGGATTTAGGGGAATTTTCTAAATGTAATCTCTTATTTGATTGTTTTATCATTTTTACTCATATACATTTAAAACAATCGTACCTGTCACCCATAGTAGTAGGCAGAGATTCCTTTGTAGGACCCATTTGGCACAATCCTGGCTGATTGGTAGAGAATGATTCAATGCATTAAGTCTGCCCTTTGTATTCTTTTGTTTTAAGGAATCTGATTTAAGGTTTATGGTTGATGAAAGGGAAGAGCCCCATCTACTGCGTCCTGTATTCACATGTCATTTTATATCCTTGTCATGTCTATCATTCCTGTTAAACACACTTCCTCAGTACACTAATTCATTCACCTTCTCGACCAACTCACCTTCTATTCTTATTTCATTCTTCTATTCATATAACATTTTACTTCCTTCTTTTTCAAAAACCATCACATTTGTCATACTTGCATTCACTCTCATTCTCCTTTTTTCTTTCTTTTAATGACCAGTTCATTAAAGTAACTATTTTTTACTTATATATCTACATCCGTAGATATCGACTATTTTGTTTATTGTGATATACGAGGGTGGATTGAAAAGTACTCGGCCTAACACAGATCCATTCAATTCTAAAAATCAAATCTACCCACATTATTTAGTTCAGTTCAGACTAGTTCATTGTGTGAAGTTCGAAACGTGTGCAATAATTAGTTGTTATTTTATAAATTTATTAACAAAGTAATCGGACATAATTTCCGCGAATGGAGCAAATCGAGCAGCGTGCCGTCATTAAGTACCTCCATAAGAAGGGGCTATCATCAAAAGCCATCCATGATGACATGGTCAGTACATTAGGCGATTGTGCTCTGTCATATTCATCCGTCAAAAAATGGATAGCAGAATTTAAGCGTGGTAGAGAGAGTGTGAAAGATGAACCCCGCTCTGGAAGACCTTCGACGTCAACTACTGACGAAAATATTAAAAAAGTACTTGATTTAATAATGGGAGACCGCAGATTAAAAATTAGAGAGATAGCCGAGATTATAGGCATCTCTTATGAACGAAGTCAAAACATCATTGTTAACGAGTTGGGTTTCCACAAGGTGTCTGCGAGGTGGGTTCCGCGACTGCTTTCAGTTGAACAAAAAAGGACGCGATTGACTATTTCACGCGACTGTTTGGAGTTATTTGAAGCCGATGCAGATGATTTTTTGAATCGTTTTGTTACTATGGACGAAACATGGGTTCATTACTGTACACCGGAAACAAAACAACAATCAAAACAGTGGAGAAGACCTGGTTCACCACCCCCTAAAAAGGCTAAGCCGATTTTGTCGGCAAATAAGGTGATGGCTTCAGTATTCTGGGACTCAAAAGGTGTGATTATGATTGATTATCTTGAAAGGGGTCAGAATATAAACTCTGATTACTACTGCACCTTACTACGTCGTTTACGAGAGGAAATAAAAGAAAAACGTCGAGGAATGCTCAAAAGAAAAGTCCTGTTTCATCAAGATAACGCCCGTGTTCACACGTCAGTACAGTCAATGGCTGAAATTCACAACTGTGGCTTTGAACTTTTACCGCATCCGCCGTATTCACCTGATCTGGTACCATCAGACTTCTTTCTGTTCCCTAACCTAAAAAAGCACTTGGGAGGTCAAAGATTTTCGACAAACGACGAGGTCAAAGCAGCTGTAGACGCATATTTTGACTCTAAGGAAGAATCATTTTTTTTCAACGGTCTAAATGCTTGGAAGGGGAGGTGGCAAAAGTGTATTGAACTTGATGGTGATTATGTAGAAAAATAAAAATATAACTGATTTAGTATGTGTTTATTTTCTTGGTTAGGCCGAGTACTTTTCAATCCACCCTCGTATAAAGTTTTAACTTGAGTTGCATATGCAGAATTCACTTTTTTTTAGTTATTAAAACTGTATCCAATGCTTCTTTTATTTTGAATGTTATGGTCAAATACTAAGGTTTTATGAAATTTCAGAATAGAATATAGAACATATAATTTTTTTACTGTTAGTAAGTCACATGTTTGATACAAGTCAGTGGTTGAAAAAGGAAAGGTTTAAAATGCATGATTTACAAAATTGATCTCTGTGACCGTCCCACTTCTAGAAATTTAATTTTCGTTGCTAATAATTATCCAATTGTTTTGAAATTTTGTATTTACATTAATGAGTGTGTTAATTAACCCCTTCATTGTGTATTGTATGTTCGCTTTTTATTGCACTAATTTCTTCCAAAAATTAGTCAAAAGTTTAAGTTTCTTAAATTAAAAAAATATACTTGGTTACATCAAAAGCATTTGAAAGGCTGGGATTGTATTAATTTATTGATTTTTAATAGAAGATATAAAGTGAAGAAAAATATGAATTTATTGATGACCTACCCTGTAATGCTTATGGAATACAGAAATGTTATAATTATCTTCATTCATTGTGATGAGGGGCGATTATGATAAGAGCCAGCAAGACCATACCGTATTGTATATTCCAGGTGTGAAAAACACAAATTGACGAAGGGGGAAGCTTCAAAGTTGAGAGATATCCAGTACTGCATTTGACGATCAGCCTATTGTGCATTATCATCATGACAAATGCTTCCTACAATGGGAGACGCCTGTGTCCAGCATGGACGTTATGGGCCAAGAAAGAGATTATGATTTGTACTAACAGTGGATACCTTGTTAAAGTGTTCTGGTCTCTTGTGAAATCTCTATCTTAACGGTGTTATGAAGAATTACTAAGGCTTAATGTCATATTGGAGGGTGACAATATAATAAAAATTGCAGTTTTCATTTGTATTTTGGTATAGTGTGCTCTATCTGCTAAATATACTACTAACCTAAAGCTGTACAAATGATGATAATAACAATACAAAATATTTAAATTCATTTCTGTCATTGATTTCAGATGATTTTAAACCGGCATCTGTTGATATGAATAAAATGGCTACAGTGGATGTTGGAACGAACAATCAAGTTACTGTGACGGTGCCCCATTTAGGTAATGTAATTTTTATTCGTAATTGTTTTCTTGCCTTTTATTTTCCTCATTCAAGTCTCAGATATTGATCCAGGATTTATTTTCATAGTGTAAAAAATGTAAATCATATAAATCAAATCCTTTTGTAATATTGTAAATAACAAAAGCTAACGTAGTCTATGATTGTAGCTAAAATGTGTTACTTCTTGGATTGACAAATTCCTAATGGGCAGATAGGCTTCATTAAAAATTGAGGAATTTATGTGGTAGAGCCATGGTGCAGCTATATTATTGGTGTAGTTGTAGCACGAATGGGTCGGATCGACCGGGGAAGGACCACACTCTCACTGAATACCAGCGTATAATAGCAGGTTAATGTTGCTGTGTTTCGTATGGTGAGTGTAGAAAACCGGAGATCCTTTTTACTGGGAATGAGGCATTCCATCTTAGTCCTCACGAGTGACAATGCATCTGCATTTTGATTCCTAATCGAGGATAGTTGTAGATGTCTATGGGCCACAGCAACCACTTACTATCAGGTGGACTGTGTGCTCGTTTGTCACCATTATGCTATAAAAAAATCTGCAAGCAGATGTATAGTTATATATAGATAGTTTGGTATATTCGAACTTCTAACTGGTCATCTAAAATAAAATAGAAATGATGTAATAAAACAGACAGCCAATAGGAAGGAAGGCCTTTGGGGAGAATGAAAATAGAAGATAATAAGAACAAGTGGTAAATTAAAAATGTTGTACAACCAATGTCAATATAAAAATAATAATTTATTGTTGATTTTTTTAAACCGCTTGACCGATTGTGATAAAATTTAAATGGGACTACCTGAGAAGTATATACCCTTTGAAACAAAAAAAAGTATTTTCCAAATCGGTTCTGGCGTCATCGAGTAATCGGTGAACATATATAAAAAATCCGACGAATTGAGAACCTCTACCTTTTTTGATAGATTTTATATGATAGTGTATCTCGATCCATATGATAGTAGAATATAAAATAACAATTTTATATCCTACTATCATATGGATCGGGAGCCTAATATGGCATACAAATATGATATAATAATTTTTGTTGATTCCTTGACACCATTTCTGTGGCAGTTCTCAGATAGTTCTCAGAACAAAGGTGTTCAATAGTAGTAGTAAATTGTCAAAAAGTGTAATGTTCTTAGTTCAGATTTTAACTGCATTGTTTCAATTACAGATGGTGCTGGAGTCCCTCAGACAGTATTTAAAGGTAGCCAACGGCCCTATACAAAGGAATGTGTGCTCATTATAGACAGGGTCACTGGGGAGATTACGTTGGAGAAGCTCTCTAGTAATATACAAGTGAAGAAGACTAGGTAGTCATTTATTTTTAAATATATACATATCATCGATCAGTAATAAATAACTAGATACACAATCCCATGCAAAAGTTCTCTAAAAACTGTCGTCAAATGTTTTGACGTAATTCTACTTGAAATAAATATACATTAATGTAAATTCAACCTTAAATGCATTGCCTAAAGTTGTTTTCACAAAGCTACGTACAAATGAATAGCGCACCCAAATGTTCAAGTGGGTGCTCATTCTGTAAGGGCATTTTTTGTCACAGATTGTGTATCTAGTTTTTTATTAGTGATCGATGATACATATACATATTTATAGGAAAGTGAACCAGTTAATTTATCAATTAATCAGCTGAAATTTGAGAGGTTCAAGAGAAAATAAATAGAAAATGTGTGCATTTTATTTAGTTCTCAGGGCTGACTATGTATCTGTGACCTCCTTTTTTTGACTCTTTAACCTTTTGTCCATTTAACATTCTATTATCATACAAAAGAATATTAAAAATAAAGAATTTTGCCTATCCACTTAGAAAAAGGGAAATTTCTTTTTAGTCTCTATATTTTATTTTCAGACAAGAAACGACACAGAAACCACGACCACTCACGCCGGTCACCACAGACTTTACTAATACAACGCAGCGGTCCACGTCTCGTACTAGAGTGGCCACAAATCGTCGCACGAATAATAATGCTAGTAAGTAGACATATTTTATATAGAATATAGAATTTGTTGCTTCAATGGCCAATCTGCCGTGCGCCAATGTTTGACAGGGTGGCGTTTACTGCATCTTTTATATGGGCAAAGTGACAAGCAAGCACACACTCCACCCAATGGTCAGTGGATACTGACCATTGGGTAGACGAGGTGTCTATACTTAATGAAAAAAAATGAAAAAAATATGTAGATGTGGTTTAACTCCGTCCTCGTGTGGTCCTTACTTCTAAACTGTTCTAAAATGTATGTTGTTATTTTGGGAGAGTGTGACCCTTTTTAATTTGTGCGAGCAGCTATGCAGATCCAGTGTCACTGCGACCTAAAAGTAGATCTTTTGATCTTTCTTTCTTCTTGATTGCTTCTATGGCTATAGTTCACTGCTAAGCCCTATGTCTTCAATCCTATGGGCTACTGTCACAATTTGTAGAAAGGCACAGAGAGCTATTTCTTTAACCTTCAGCGCTTTTTCGCCCCTGTTAATAATACTGATCAGAGCTGTTTCCGTAAATTTGCCTCTGCGGTAAGCATACTGGTTGTAATGTATGGGCTTTGTAGCTAGAGTTACATCCCTAATATTTATATCTATCTATAACCTTTTCCTATGTTAAAGTTTGACCCTTGGTCAAACTGAACCAGACCTGAACCTACCACACGAAGACAATTTCTCCCAATTGTGATGTAACCTTATGGCTGTTTATGGGATGATAAAAGACCAAAAACAGCAGGGTCAAGAATAAAACTTTTCTGATTTAGATTCTGGATCTGGATAGCGATATGATTAAAATTTTATAGCGATATGTCAAGTTTTTTCTAGTTTAGTTATAAAATTATTGTAAGGAAAGTATGCTTTGAAATGGTCGTTATATTAAAAATGAGAAAATTTATTGTCTAAGATCTGCGTACCTAAAAAAAAACTAGTGTGGATTACTGTCAACGTTAAGTCTAACATCACGACACGACACGACAGAAAAAACACACCACCGTTTATAATTCAACACGTGTTTCGCCTCTAAACAAGGCATCAAATAGACTCAGAAATAGACTGCGATGGTTAAACGACAATTTGACTTAGTGTTAGCTTAGGTTAGCTGCTAGTTAGAGGGGGTCTTGTAAAGCATTACAATGTGAAAAAAGGGCGGAAGGGGGTTCGAACAACGTTTTATGTAACATTGTTTTTTTAGTTATATAAAAAAAAAACTAGCGAGTTAAAATCTCCCACGTTGGCAACCCTTTTCATATATGTATTACGGGTATTCTCTCGACTATATTGTACGCCATTTTTATTTTGTTTTTATTGTCAGTATTCGTTAGCGTTTACGCAGAAGCACATCGTTGAAGTCAGTGTTGTTAAAATGAGTTCATACTTCGTCTTCAAAAGAGGGAGATTTGCATCATCAACTGTTCTTGGCCTATAAAAGCTCTCATGCTGATTTTCCAGCGCAACAATGGTTGATGAAGCCAAAAATGTATGTAAGGACAGGGCCAAGTCAGGAAAACGGCGTAATTAAATGCAAGATTGATAGTAATAATTTATTAGGACAAATTTGAGCCTATTTTAACATATTTTAAACTTAAGCAAATGTTTATTACATTATGTGTGATTGTTTATTAAATAACAATATGAATAAATAAAATAAACAATATACGTATGTATTGCGAGTTAAAAATCTCTTGGTTTATTTATTATTACCACAAACACGACTGAAACAATAACCAAGGTATTTTAGCGACTTTCCGGTACTTTGCGCAACATAATTGTGACTTTTTTCGTTATGTCGAGATATAGGGGGGGGGGGGGGGGGGGGGGTTAAAAATCTTCAAAAATTGCGTTACGTAATATCAAGTATGGTACGCTCCATTAATTGTTTTATTTTATCCAGATACAGCTAGCGTTGTCCAGCCAAGCGCTCAGTCTCGGTTCAACAATAGCGGAGCTCAGAAACCCGTGCAGAATATGGTGAGGTCCCCACCGCGTGTCAAGTCGTCACCTCCACAGGCTCCGTAAGTATGATGTTTATGTTATGGACCAAATGATTAATTAGGCCACTATTTATAAAGCCCGGGTAATATGAATAATGACAAGTTAAATCGGGCTTTGTATTTAACACCGATTGAAACTTCTTACTTACTTCGTACTTAATTCGACTGTATGTTCTTTTTATGTGTGTTACCTCATAACTTTTTACTGGGTGAACGGATTTCGATGATTCTTTTTTATTGGAAAGCTGGTACTTCACATATGGTCCCATATGAATTTGATCAAGTTCAGACCAATAGTTTTTGAGTTATTCTTAATAATTTATATTGAAGTCGGCTGTACAAAATTTTTAATTTTTAATTATGGAAGAATAATTTAATAATGTACTCGTACTAAATCCGAAATTAACAAGTGTAAAAATGTGAAGGAAGGGATAAAACATTTCGATTACGGCGTCCTGTCTCAATAAAGGCTAGCCATTTGTGCAGGACAGGATCATAGTGCAGGAGTGTGTGCGCTAACACAGGTGCACTCTCTATTTCTTCGCTCTGAAATGAAAATATAATTGTAACCCAAGTGAAACCCATAATTTGATTATACATTAATAAACAGTTACACACACAGTTACATTAATAAATTACATATATATTGAGAAATCAGCTTATGCTAGATGGGATGAAGTTGCTTGTTAACCATGTTCAAAAAGAATAATCAACAATATACGTATTACTTATATTTAACTCCTATTATATTGTCGATTCTTCTTTTTGTTATGTAACAAAATGTCTCCAATAAATTGAAATTAATTTGGATAACAAAAGCATCTAACTGAAATGATACTTAGGAGGAATAATTGTAAGAAATTAACATGTTTATTGATTTTATCATAATTGCATAAGAAATCCCAACCAAAATTACTATTTCCAAGCACCTCAATTATTCTATAATAACAGACAAAGAAAAATAGTTGACAAAAATGATTGCGTCTAGAAATAACTTATATATAAGATGAGTTTAATTATTTTTCTATGATTTATCAAATAAAAATGTATTTTAATTAAAGCCACAGAAAAAAACATATATTTTTGGGAATATTAAATGACTTTAATCATTTTACACTATTCAAGTGTTGCCATTTACTTTATTCATACTATTTTCGTATATACTTCGTAAGACTACCAACACAACACAAACACAATATTTTTGTGGGAAGTTATTATTAGTAATAAGTATACTATCAGTAATAATAAAGACAAAAGTGATATGGTTGAAAATAAGTCTCTTACAAAGAACTTCCTACAATAATACATTATCTCAATCATAGTACTATGTAACAATTCCATTTAATGTTATGGCAACACTAGCTAATACAAAATGTCACTGTTTTTTTATTAACTGGCTTTACGCCTCTGGGTTCTAGCCCTTCTGAGAATGTCATTGTATGATACAAAGGCCCTGGAGCCATGCCAGAAATATACATTTATAGTATGCAAATATATAATAGAGATACAATAATCTAAAAACTTTCAATTATGTAGGTAGGTAGGTACATTATGTTGAGAATGTGTTAAGCTAACATCAAACAACCACAGGACGCATGACTTTCCAAGTGACATAAGACATAACCTAAAGTGGTTCAAATCTAAATATCTTTTTTTTTTGACGCCTTCTCAGGACGAAATTCTTTGACAAAGTTATTCAGGGACTGACGCTTAACATTCCTTCTCAACTAATTTTATGTATGAAAGCCTGCCATTGTTCTTTATGGTACAGTGTAAATATGTGTGTAATGTTTCAGAGGTTCTCAGTACGATTGTTTGTTCTCTTTATTTTTTATGTAGATACGCCATATATCCGTCAATTATGAACCGATGTTAACGATTTTTTATGAAATTGGTATATACCATTTTCATAAAAAATCAATGATATTTCAAGGATGGTTCCGTAAAGTCTCGTTCGCTTCTGAAGTCAGGGCTTTTATGTTTTAAAATACACTCTTTTAGAAATTATTTTTAAACGCTATTAATGTTTACTATTAACTATTAATAAGCTGGAAATTTTATTTTTTCTTTATTCAGTTTAGTTCTTTAAAAGTAGCTCTTAAATTTTATTAAAAGTTTAATTTTATGACATTAGTTATGGAGCAATTGTTTCCTAGTGCCATTTTTAGGTGACAATTCCTAAGTCAGTTGGATTCATTATTGCTATTTAACATCTATAATATATAAAAATAAATTTTTGTTTGTTCGTATTTTATGCGCTGCCATACTATTCATCAGATTGCGCTAAAACGTTGTCAACTTATTGCTTCCACTTGTGAGAAGGTTATAGGCATAGTACAACTAACTTACAGTAAGTGGCGCGCGCGTATCGACAAATTTATTTGAAAGTTATACATCACTCAACTTCAATGAATGTATTATCATTGCTAATTTAAACAATATAACTCTTCCAAATTTAACACGATATTTCGATAATATTTTTTCTGTGACAGCAACGCGCCGGGTACCAGGTAGTATTATATATTTTCGATTTTTTTACGTGACACTTTACACATGTTAATCTCATTCAATTGTGCAGTTGGGTATTTTTAACCAGTTAAATGGGATGAATTTTTAAAAGAATCCTCCCTAAAATTGGAGAGGCCAGGTGTGGTATTCTGTGATGCTCCTCCCTAAAATTGGAGAGGCTTATGTCCAGGTGTGGTCTTTTGTGATGCAGTGGGCTGGTGATGAATTTATAAATGAGAAGTTACATGATACCATCATCGTGTAGTGGCGGTGTAAGAATGTTCACTACCTCATATCCCGTAACGTCCCGACGGTGTCGTAAGAGGAGACATACGGAAAATGAAACAGGAGATGGGCAGCAGTATCTTCCTGATAACAACACAAAATAATAAAAAACTACGGTTGCCAACCCGCTTGCCAAGCGTGGCAACTATATATTCCCTCATGAGGCAGTCTATGAGGGAGGTCTGTATTCAGCAGTGAACTTTTATAATCCGTAATGGATGGATGGATGGATAATACCATCATTACTACCCAATTAAACAGATGGTCGGGCGGCGGAAACAGCACGCTGGCGTCGCTTCCTATGATAGGGCTGGACGACGCGCCCGCGTCGCGCAGCCCCGACCCGCCCGTGCCGCGCGCCACGCACGCCACGCACGCGCCGCACGTGCCGCTCGCGCCGCACGTGCCGCACTCGCCACACGTGCCACACGTGCCACTCGCGACGCACGCGCCACACGTGCCGCTCGCCGGCCACGGCAACCTCGCGACCGCGCCTCTTGCGCACGCCCCGCTCCCTGCCGCCGCGCCCCCGCCCGCTTCGGTCAGTACAAATATTAAAGCGCCGTGGTGAAAGGTTGTTTGCTACCTAAAATGTGTTTATTATTTATATTCTTATTTTATTACAATAACCGTAACAATAAAATAGTAGTCTATTTTATTCTTAGAATAGAAAAATATTTATTTAACAAATAATAAAAGAAAAACAATATAATAAGTGCCCCTCGGGGTGTACCGACACTATCTTAACGAACATACTATATTTGCTTGATTTTTTGTATACGATAGTAAATCGCTATATAGAGGTACTGGTATCATTTAATGTATTTAATGTAGCGCCATCCTATATAAGTACTATTTAACTAAAATATAAGTGAAATAAGTACATATGTAGGTAGACATAAATGAAGATGAAGTTTCACCGACTGACAACAGTCGCAAGTAAACATATAATGTCGGTTTATTTATTTGGTCCTATAGGTCGCGTCGCAAGATGACAGTTCGTCGAGTTCGTCGAGCGACAGTGACAGCGACAGCGGAAGCGGAAGCGATAGCGACGACAACGATTCCTCTGCTGCATTGCCTACACTTACCAATGGTAGGTAAAAACCAAAATAAAATTAAAAATTAATGATGTTAAAATTATTTAGCTAATAACCGCGTAAGAAATAAAAATTATGTGTGAAATGAATGAATGTGAAATGATTAATCCTTCATATATTAAAAAAAAAACATAAAACAAAGTTCGCAATGTCGAAACAAGCCACCATCACTGAAAACCAATCCTTACTCCAAACGGTCTCTCAAAAATACCTATGTATTTATAAATTGGATCTCTTTTTTGCAAACTTCATCCAACTGAAAGATTGATTGATGCATTTTTGATAAAATAAATGCTATCCCTTATTTTTAAGGCATAATTAACATATCAATCTTGAAGTAGTTTAAAAATCAGTTAAAAGGTTAAAATTGCAGCTTATGTATCCGTCCCACTGTTGGGCACAGGCCTCTCCTCATTACTCAGCGGGTTTTAGGCCGCCGGGCTACCCCAATACGTGTTGGCGAACTTCACTTGCCTTCAAAATTTGCAAAAAAGGTTTCTTCACGATGTTTTCCTTTACCACCGAGCACGTGGTAAATCAGTACTTAAAATTGCAATTTCCAAAGCAAACCCGGGTTGCTCGCGTACTGTGAAATATACAGCGATTGCTAAGTCCGTGATCATTCTTTATGTACCGAAACCTCCTTGATGGTTGGATATCGGTTTGTTTCGTATCGTTGACTCTTATCGTTTCTAGTTGGAGTATTTTTTTATAGTATAAGGGTGACAAACAAGCACACAGTCCATCTATGGGGTTGGTATGTGGTTACTGTCGCCCATAGACATCTACATGTATCTACGTTTGCGAATCAAAATGCAGATGCGTTGTCACCCGTGAGGATTAAGATAGAATGACTCGTTTCCAGTAAAAAGGGTCTCCGGTTCTCTACACTCACCATACAAAACACAGCAGCTTTAAGTTGCTATTTTACGCTGGTATTCTGTTAGAGCGTGGCGCTTCCCCGGTCGAGCCGACCCATTCTTGCTAAAACTATACTATTAATATCGCTGCAGCATGGCTCTACCACGTATAGTTTTACATTTGTGATTCCCTAAGTCTCCTTTTACGACATCCACAGGTCGAAAGGCGTTAATGGAATCTATTTTACCGCCCAACTCACGGCTTATTTAATCATGTACATATTATGATAATCAATTGTTAATGACCAGGTAATGTCAGCAATCCGGCACTGCCCAGCGACGTGCTAAACGACGATCTCTGTCTCTCCGAGTCGGGCAGCGATTCCGACTGACCTCACCGAAAACTCTTTCCGTTATTCGATTACGGAGATATCTTATAAAGCATCTCGTACTTCGAACGCATTAAACTTGGCAAGCGTCACACGAACACCACCCATTCGTACACGTTGCCAGCTTAGTTGATCCTTGCCAGGTTTTAAGGAAAATATACTTAAGTGGCGATACGAATATCACAATCACGCATTAAACGATATCACTGTTATATCCATCGTTTTTAGGAAAATATAATATCGCCGGTGTGACGTCACATGAAACGTGCCTCAATTGAATAGAGATATATTTTTTATTTTATGCCAATATTTTTAAACAATTTAGTCTTAAGGTTCTATTGTTTGTTTGATAGAGTTGTCGTAATAACATAAAAAAGTATATTATACGTGGATTATACCTATTAAATGCGAGTATATCACTATATATATACCTACTGCAAAAGTATACTGTAACTTGCCGAATATGCTACAAGATCGTGTATATATAAGGTTATTTATTGCTTACCTATTATATACTTAATGAAATATTTGATATAAAAATAATATATTATGGCGTTGAACGAAATCTGAAAAAATTGTGCCTTTGAAATATAGAAGCAAATTGTATATACATTTCATATCAAATTAATAATATCCGTTTTTTAAAACCCATACTGAAGTAAAAAAAAATAGCAAATTAATGAAATGTACTGTAAATTTTTTATCACTAATCCTACTATAAATGTATAAAATAATTTCCTTGTAAAGACATTACATATTAAAAAAAATTCTAAAGGTTTGCCGCCAATTTTCTCATAACCTTTTTTTGGGATAAATATGTTGAAATAGCACCTTGTATCGAAGTTTTGGCGGGAATTTGACTACTGGCGAATTGCTGCTCTTGTATTAACATTTAAATATGGTGAAGTGGGTTTTCATATATAAAAGTGGTGCGATTTTGTGTATTAAATGTGAATTATTAGGGGAAACGATGTAACAAGTGCTTTGATGAGATGGTGATAAAAATCTCAAATTTTTTGTCGGCTTGCGCGCCTTATAATATATTGTCATTATCTGTCTATCATTACTAACTATTACTGTAAACTGTTATCATAATCCCTCAAAACTTCTATATAATTTAATAATTTTTTCATAACTTGATTGTTCACAAAGTTATGAAAAAAATACTAGGCTGTATGGTTTGTAACATATTGTTTATAATATATTACAAACCATACAGCCAATATTACAATCTTGTTTATAATTTATTATTCGGCCTAGTTTTTATGATTATTAATAATATCGCACGGATATTCCTTATGTTCGAAAGAGGAATTACTTTTAAATAAATATATAGTGGTTTATTACAAAAATGTTGCTCAAAACTATATCCCTTACTTTTGGTTAAACAATTGCTAATTTATTTTATTCTAATAAGTTCTAGAACGTTGATTGGTTATATATTATGTTTTTTTTTTATTTCTAGAATAGAAAATCATGAGCTACATTTTGACCTAATTAAAACAATGTCTAGTGATCAGAACTAAATTAAAGTCCGCGCGTTCTATCGTGGTCGGGCTAAAGTTTCCGAGACATTCGTGCATGTACAGACGCTAGTCTATAAAGATGTGCCACCTTATCGCTCCTAAGATTCTAAGATCTATATGGTTTATAGAATAAATTGAAAATGTTTATTATAATGAAATTATCTTTATGTATTTCAATAAAACAACAGAATCTAATAAAGAATTACTATAAACAGTTTGAATATATACCATGATATGATGGCGGGGACCACCAATTCTTTCAGTAACCCCAAAATAAAATAACTTAAAATTCTTCAGTAAAATCTTTAATGTACATCATCATAATCACTGTATTTAAAACGACATGTTGCATTTACATACCAATGAAACATAAAAAATATAAAATAAAATCGAATCATAAATGATAATAATCGATTATTTATGTACTTGTAACTGTGCAATATACGTATTCACATCTCTAGATTTAGTTACCGCCCACCCTCCCTCTCCCCCTCTCCCCTTGTCACCAATTTGTTCCTAAAACTATATTTGCTCAGTAATCTGCGCCTAACTTCAGCCCGGCCAAGATACAACGCGCGGACCGTATACTTTCTTGAAGTTATCTAACGAAAGTCACGGATTTTTTAAATATTTTAAGTGTAAAACATAGTTTCAGGACAGATTCCTTTAATTTATTTTTGACTTACTAGTTTTGTCACATATCTAGTAAAGTACACATGTCAGATTTATAAAACCACTGGTGTTTTTTTTATAATACGTCTTTCTCTCTTTGGAGGGAATTCTTGTGAACGAACCCACAATCAATATTTATTCTTTCTTTCGTGTTAAGGCTATCTGAATAATATAATATATATAATAAAAACGTTTATATAAATGAGTATAATATATATATGTGTATTTTTGTGCCAAAAATATTTTAATTTGGGTTGTACAAATGTTATGAAATATTTAACTAAAGAGATTTTTCTGACGGTTGGTAGGTACTGTGGCGTCTATCTAAACCTTTTAACTAAATCTTTAAATTTAATCGAACAAGGCTGTATGGCCAGGACTTTCGCCTTAAATGGCGATCAGACAGGCACAGACAAAAAATCAACTAAATTAAACAAGTCGAAAATAGTATGAAAGCCATCAATAGAATAAGAAAAATAAAGATGTATTAATGTATTTCATTAGTCGCTATTAATTATTAAAATAAAACATAAGAATTTTTGTAACGCCTTAAAGTTAACAAAGGTCCAATCCATTTGTATATTGTTTAATTATTGTCTCTGACCATACCCAGCCTTTTATTATCATGGGAAGAATAAGTTGGATGTTTTAAAATCATCAATAATTCTTTAGTGTTTTTATAATACAAACAATTTTTACTAGCTATCAGTTATTACTGGTCAGCCCAATTCGAAATCTCATATATTTACTTCTGGCAATACTCACATTATGTGTATTTATGGGTACAATGAAAAATATGCGTTAATTTATTTCCATAAACTTAATGATACTCCATGTTGTATTTTATTTCGTTTGAATAATTGTTTCCTGCTATTAAGTTTTAAAAGTAAAATATTTTTATTAAACTGTAACTAAAAATTTATACCGTCTTTGTATTATGCTGCACCAAATCCTGTTTCCACAGCAAACAGTTAAATAATTATTTTTGCGTTCATTTGTCCATTCTATCGCGGATGTGATAAGCTGTGTTTGCGACGTAGAGTACGATTTAGATAATGATAGTGTAACACACTTGGAATGTCTTTTGATTAAGCATAAAATTCCTTTCCTAAAGAAATCTTCGTACTGAGCACCTAAAAATTTTTTTAAATTTTCAAAACTCTGTGCTCTCAGATTTCAATGTGGTTCAAAGACAGCAATAGATAGAATCCACTTGGTGCAATTCTGGCGTATACACAGTTTGGATAAGTATTTCAAAGTCAGCGTCTCCAATTGCAGCCATCGCACGGCGAACTTGAGTGGAACAAAATAAACTTTTATTTGATGCCAGTAACAGTGGCTCCACGGGCAAAATATATAATCATTATTACACATTGCCTATCCCAGAAAAGAGCCCATGGTCTTATCGGCGGATGAACGTTTTGAAGTTGGAGATAATAGTAAGCGGTGGGCCATTTAATATTTGGAATTTGAATCTGCTATAAAATGAATATTTTATTTTATTTATTTATCTTCACGCACAATCCTTGACGGGGTAGCCAGAGAGAACAGATCGCCAAGTGTCACGATCCTTACATACCTCTTTCGCTTCTTTCAGATTCATTATCTTCTTCATACATGCACGTCTAGGTATCCGAGTACTCTTGACCCTCCCCTCTTCGAGCAATTTGCTCACTTGGTCTTCGAAAGTTAGTCTCTGTCTACCTCGACACCTTTTAATATTAACTTTCGCGCTATATATTTTCTTCACCATTCGTTCTTCACTCATTCGCTCAACGTGTCCAAACCATCGAAGCACGCCCTTATCAATTTTTGTGATAAGGTCATCTTTCAAACCTGCCATATTGCGAATCTTCGTTTCGCTTTCGGTCGGCCATGGTAACGCCGCACATTTTACGAAGAGATCGCATCTCTACTGCATTCAACTTGCTTTTATGCTTCTTCTGGCATACCCAGGTTTCGCTGCCATATAACAAAGTCGGTACCAATACTGCGATATGTATTGCAAGGCGTGCACTCTTCACTACGCCTTGCCTTTTGACTAACGCAGTCAGGGCACCATTGATTTTGTTCCCGCCAGCGACACGCCTGTCCACATCTAAATCACATCTTCCATCGCGGCAAAAACACTCCCCAAGTATACAATTTCATTTACCTGTTCTACACATTCCTGATTTACCCATATTTCACACTTCGTTCTCTCTTCGTCCCTTTCAAATACCAGAACCTTAGTTTTATTAGCATTCAAACGGATACCTTTAATTTCACATTCCTCTTTCATACACGTGACTAATGCCTGCAGTTCTGCCTCTGATGGTGCAATAAAATGAGTATAATAAATATTTTTCAAGTTATGAGTTTGTTAGAAAGATTGAACCTTTCCATTTAGGAATGGAAGACAACATCATTCAAATGACTGCCACGGCTAGCCTTACAATACCCCATTCGATCAGTCCAATTTTTCAGTACATTTATTAATTTTCGATTGTTTGGGCCTCTATTTCGTCAATGGCAACTTCGATTTCACGTTTTAAGTTGTCAATCATCTCTGGATGGTTAGCTTGTCACTTGCACTTAGCACTTTTCCTTAACGACTCCCCGCAAAAAAAATCTAAGACCGCGTTCCGACGACACGCACCCGCTACGCGCACGCCACGCGTGTCAGCACCCGCGATGTAACAAATTATATGCAACAAAGGAGAAGGAGACGTCTCCATACATTCTTGGGCCCAAGTGTTAACAAGATGAAAGTAGGACCATTTGAAAGCGTATATATAAACAATTAATAGCTGAAAATCTGGCATGATTTGTCAAAATTTAACAGTGGTAGAGCCACGTGGCGGCTTTTGCTGTCACACGGATGGGCCGGCTCGAACCGGGATGGTACCACGACCTCACAGAATACCAGCGTGAAGTAGAGGTTTACCTCTGCGTTTCGCTTGGTGAGTGCAGGTGGCCGGAGGCCCTTTTTACTGGAAATGAGGCATTCCATCTTAGTCCTCACGGGTGACAACGCATCTGGATTTTGATTTGTAATAGAGGATAGATGTAGATGTCTATGGGCGCAGCAACCACTTACCATCAGGTGGACTGTGTGCTCGTTTGTCACCCTTATCCTATAAAAAAAATCTAGGAGCTGAGTTTTTGTAGAATACGTAAAAGTGAGATTATCTATTACCTAACTATAACAGGTGATTTTTCACTGTTATTACACTGTAACAGGCTATTTTTCACTATAATTACTTAAAGATATAAAAGTCGGATCAGTATAAAATCACCAAAAAAGCTGTGGTTAGTAATGAAACGAAATGGTGAAACGATTAACGAAAGTTAAAACAACAACAACTAAGTGAAGTGAATATTAGGTATATCGATCTGTGATTGGTTACTTCAATTGTTATTGTAACTGTTACATGTTGGAAATTTGATATCGGGTGCAGAGCGTGTGCCGGATGAGCGTGGGGCCGGCGCGGAGCGGGTACGAGGCGGGCGCGTGGCGTGTGCGATGCTGGTGCGGTTGAACGTCGATAAATACAATTACAGATTGATTGATTTGCCATAAGACTCTTATACGCAACAAATTTCAAAGCGAGTTAGAGGCGGGTGCTGACGTGCGTGGCGTGCGCGTAGCGGGTGCGTGTCGTCGGAACGCGGCCTTACGGAGTCAAACCGCAACTTCGAGGTGGCCAATTGACATCAGCATTTCGGCTGATAATGTGATTTTCGAAAACAGTGCGCAAAAGATCGATTCTTACCTTGGCTGCGTGGCATGTTGCGCCGTACTGTTGAAACAAAATGTCGTCTATGTCATCCTCTTCAATTTTAGGAAACAAAAAATCGCTTAGTATGGCACGGTAGCGATCGCCATTCACTGTAACGACGTTTCCTTGCCTTTTCTAAGAAAAATGCTCCAATAATGCCGCCAATACAAAACTCCGCACCAGACAGACACTCGGGGATGCATTGGTTGCTCCACGATCACGTGTGGTATTTCTGAACCCCAGATACGACAATTTTGCTTATTGACGTATCCTCCGAGGTGGAAATGAGCTTCATTTGAAAAGATGATTTTTAAAACCGAAAACGCATGTACTAATTGAACTTAGTACGCATCCATACCGAGGTCTTTATGCAAAATTCTTCTCAAAGGAGTGTGTGAAACGTTCAATTCTTGTGAACGGTGACGAGTTGATGTTGAGGTTTTACACGCACACTATTGCACATCAGCAGCGATGTTTTCGGATGAGCGCACTGGACGTGTAACGTACACGGGTTGTTTTATCCAACAACGATTCAGTTTCACGAACTCCCTTCATCCTTTTTGTCAAATTTTTTTCGTAAATTTCTTACAGTTTGAGTATAAGACAACGCTTTGGAAATAAGTTTTTAATAATTTCCAACTTTGTTCAAGCGAAAAGCGACCCATTTCATAAATGTCAAACATAAAACTAACCTTCTATCACATCGGAAATTAGGCATGAAATATACCTGTAACATTAAATACCCGGCTTCAAGGGTACGGGCATCGACGTATACCCGGTATCAACATCCGGTATCAGAATACTTAAAGGTATGTTCAGGGGTGGCCTTAACGGCCTTCTTTCGGACCTTTCTTTCGAACTCTTAGCGACCTTTGAAACATTTTGTAATTTTTTTTCACGGGCGACATCCTGAGGCCGACACTGAGTATGTCGATATATCATACGATGTTGCATAGTAAAACGAATATAAACGAATAAAAACTATATTTACTACAAGGCGCTGAATGGTATTCATACAACCTATACTCAAATGTTACCATTTATGTGCTGACCAGTTATCTAGTTTTTTTTAGACAATATTTTCATCTATACATATAATACTTTAATATCTACGTATATTTTTGATTCAAATTCAAATTTCAGTGTGTATCAGGTATAGGTACGTATGATTTCGTTCAGCGCGTAGCTCGTACGATACCGATAATACCTATCGGGTACGGACCGGGTCTCTGCCGTACACATACCCGGTGTGCGTACTACCAAGTTCATACTGGGTATTGAGACCTGTACCAGCATATGCCTCATCCTTATCGGAAATGTCATCAAACCTTCCAACCTCAAAATTAACCTATAGTTCCAATTCTAAACGTTATACAAGCTGGGCCATCCCAACCTGTATTTGCCAAGTCATCATAGACGGCATTTGTTTTGGAATCGTTATGGCGATGGCAACATCTGCGTTCGTCGTCCCGAAGCTTCATCATCGTTATGGTGAAGCTTCGGTTAACGTTCTGCGTACCCAATGTGCGGATACTTTTTATCTCCAAGCGCTATCGTGCTTGTTTTTGATTTTTAACCGACAGCTTTATTTTTTGTGTATGTTCAGGCATAAGTAACTCTTTGTTTTGAACCAATTTAAATAATTCTTCTTTTACTAAATAGGTTTATACTTCAGGGAGTAGAACCATATAGATAAATAAAATCGAAGGGTGGAAAAAATAGTTGATGCAGTTTTTAATGCATTTAGATTCTACCACACAAAGGTAGGTGTAATAAAATAAAATTTAAAAAATAGTAAAAACAGTCTTCAAGAACTAAAAAGAATAAAATAATTTCCACATCATAGCTTTTGAAGTCGAGTCTTTAAGTCTTTGATTTATTATGTTGTGTTAGCACCCACTTTGGAAGTAATTATGCGGAAATTATCGCCAAATTTAAAACAAAAGAGGCCTATGTATTGGTTATGCCCTCGTCTACTTTCAAGGTGAACAAAGTATTATTTTTTAGTATTTTGTTCACCTTGAAAGTCAAATATGGGCAATAGTGGATATTACCACATGTTAATCCATTTTTCAAAGCCCATATCCGTTTGCCAAAGGAACGTGTCTTTTTTTTTTTTATAGAAGAGGGGGCAAACGAGCATGCGGCTCACCTGATGA